GCTGCATGCAGGTGAAGTCTGAGCCTCCAACTGGTCCTCACTTCCTATGGTTTAGGACCAGGTGCCCTTTGTGCTGTTATGTGCCCCGCCCCCCATACACTTTGATAACTGCTGACTAGTTTTGGCACTTGATGACCTTACACCAAAATAAGCCTAGGGATAAGGTTCTTATAGCTTTTTAAGAGAATGTTGTAATACAGGTCTATTTGGTTGTGTCAATCCTTTGATGGAATTTTTCATGACAAGCATTAAATCTCAGCTAAAGGAGCTTGAGGTCATTCTAAAACAACATCAGGCTGTGCTTGTGAAGGCCTTCAAAGATTTCAAATTTTGACATTTGTGTGAATCTTTCAAAGAACATTATCTAGGGCAACTGTCTGATAGGGTTGTCATGAGGCCTGAATGAGACAGAGGATTTGAAAAGGTCATTGATTGCTCTTGATTGGAATAGTGCCAGGTATGCCCAACACACTATTGATATTGTTCCTAGAACTTCACCAGGGCTATAACTTACTCTCTGCATGTCACTCTAAAGTACTCTAGTTAGAATTTTCTCTGGCTCATTTGGGGACAGAATCTCTACTACACATTGTAGTACCTTAACAATAGGTTGAGACACAAAACTACTGATATTAGGCTGCTTTTAACCTTTAAAGTCATCAATTTCATGTAATTGAACCTAATAACATATTCTAAATATGGCCTCCCTCCCCAGCTCCCCATATGTTTCTTCAAAGCCCTCATAAATATTTTATTTTTATTTTTATTTTTTATTTTTTTGAGTTGAAGTCTCACTCTGTCGCCCAGACTGGAGTGCAGTGGCTGCTTCCGGCCACCGCAGCCTCAACCTGCTAGGCTCCGGCGATCCTTCCGCCTCAGCCTTCCAAGTAGCTGGAATTACAGTCATGTGCTACCACGCCCGGCTGATTTTTTGATTTATTGTAGAGATGAGGTCTCTCTGCCCAGGTGGGTCTCGAACCCGCGGGCTCAGGCAATCCACTCACCTCAGCCTCCCAAATGCGTGGGATTACAGGCTGAGCCACTGAGCCCGGCGTATATATTTTAAATTCTAAATGGGAACTCATTTTTTGCCACTCATTCCTCGGGATTCCTAAATGTTACAGTCATGAAATTTCAGGTCGTGGAAGTATTTCCATAGACAGCCCTAGGGATCCATAGACTTGTTCCTGCTACAGCCTCTCCAAATTCTCTAGAGAAATGCAATTAGGGCCCAGAGCCTGCTCTAAGCAAGAGACCATCACAGGAAACTGTGAGGATGTGACATTTACATTAAGCTCCCAGCAGCATCTCAGGGACGGCCAGCTAGACTTGGTCATGGCATCTTCTCCCCAGATTTTATAAAAACACGCTTTCTTGAGTCTTGCTGAGTTGACAGGGCCAGCCTGAGCCCTGCTGGTCATTGTCACCAGCAGTTTTTTGTTTTATCAGAGGGGAAAGGCACACAGATGTACAGGCCTTCAGAACACCAAGACCAGCGAGGCTCAGTTCCATTCTGACTCAGCCACTTTCCCCTTCATGAGCCAAGAAACTTGTTTGGCGCTTTGGTCTTTGGCAGGGTGAGTTATGGACACGTAACACGTATGTGCACGTGCATAAAAGGACATAGCCATCCTTGTATTATATCAAGTCTCCTAAAAAGTTTGGATTATAATAAATATAAATAATTATCTAAATGTTTAAATTATTCCTCTGTGTCCTGGAGTTTCAACTGATTGCAGAAGACTATGTAATTTATTCAGCATCTCACTCTTGGCACAGTTAATATTGTCTCAGATTCACCCCCATTAGAGGAATTTTCTCCAAAAGACTACCTCAAATATTAGAATGACTTTGCCATTTCAGTGGCAATGACTAAGTTACTAAGGTGAATAATCAGAAAAGAACATCACAAAACAAACAAAAAACAATCAGACTGTCATTTATTAATTCAAATTTATATAGTGGTATATGCTATTGGAGAAATCAGAAATCCATAACACACAAATTTGTATTGGAAATACAAAATCATCTGAGAGTCAAGAAATCAGGTTGACAGCACCACAAATGTTGTACTCAGTCTGAGTAGCTGTGCAGTATTCAAGACAACAAATACCGACAGGAGACTGAACCTGAATGTCATACGACTATGCAGACACATCCCAACACTATTTTCCACCCAACAGTGGAATTCTGCAGGGCTGCCCCAGAGGCCTGGGCACAATCACAGGACAGCAAGGCAGGAACATGGTGCAAACTGCTCTTTCTTTCAGCTTTCATGGCCAGCACAGGACAGCAAGTAGTAACCACTGAGAGATTTTGTTCTTTCTTGCCTGAAGGCATGATATGAAAGGCGAGTCAAACACACACGAGGCATTAGTGAGCAAGTTAGAGAAGTTGAAAGCAGAGTTTTGACTGAAACAGAACCCACATTAGTCATCAAGTTTCCTGATCCCTAAAATGAAGTATAAAATAAGAGAAATGGATAACTCTACATCAAAGGAGTGAATTTCATCTTCACGTCTCATTGCACCTTCTTCTTGACAAGTGTGAACCTGTCAGAGAAGTACAGGCATTCAATAACATGAACGTGGAGTGAAGGGGAACAGGAGAGGAAGGTGGGAATACTGCAGGACCCTCCTTCCACGCACAGTTCACCATCTTGAGGACCTCACTGTCGCCTTCGTCTTCAGACCTTGTCTAGAGCCTGCTGGGAGTGCCCTGGGCTCGGTCTCCAGTCCTCTCCATTCTAGCTTCATGTTGCCACCTGGCGCACTCTTCCCATGCCTGTGTCCTGGCTAATGGAAGGGCTGTGCGAGAGGGATATGTGACCAGACAGAAAGATGCTGCTTTAACGCATAAGCATTCTGGCACATGAAGAAGTCATAACTAATGGGTCAAATGTTAATTTGCTACAGGTGATCAGCTCACTTCCTGCAGAATTAGCATCCGCCCTCCAGGCAATGCTGGAGATGATTCTGTAGTGGTTGATCAGTTTTCCACCATGTGACACCAATGCCAGGGTCCATGAGGCTGATGCAGAAGCTCTGCCCTTTTTTTTAATCTTTTGAGTCAGGGTCTCACTCTGTTGCCCAGGCTGGAGCTGGAGTGCAGTGAAATGCTCATGGCCACCACAGTCTTGACCTGCTGTGCTCAGGTAATCCTTAAGCCTCAACCTTCCAAGTAGCTGAGACTACAAGCACACGCCAACATACCTGGGGCCTTTTTTTAAAAAATTCTAGAGATGAAGTCTTGCCATGTTGCCCAGGCTGGTCTCGAGCCCTGGGCTCAGGCAATCCTCTTGTCCCCACCTTCCAAAGTGCTGGGATTACAGGTATGAGCCATCATGCCCGGCTAGAAGGTCTGTCCTGAATTATACAAGTTGGTCTTTAGAAGCACCTGACCAGTCAGGAATTTCAGATTCCAGGCTCACGCCAACTCATCCTCTCCTGAAAACTTTGCAATCATCTCAGAATGCTAAATTAGTCTTTCTTCTAAATCTCCTGTCCCAGGTGCCGACTGGGTCTCACCTCCTGCTGACATATGACAACTCATGGCACCTTAGGACCACCACTAGATTCATACCTACGTAAAGCAAATTATTTGCTCCAAGTAGAAGATGATTTTATCATCCAGAGGAGATAACAGTTTTCCTCTAAGCTCCCTGTAATATCCCACCATCTTTTTTCACCTCCCCTTCCTAAATTTATTTCTCTATCACTTGCCCATTACACCGTTCATTTACCCACTCAACAGACTTTTCTGGAGTGCTTGTCACATGCAAGGCACTGCTGAAGAACGAAACACGTGGCTCACGTGGGCCCTACTTTCAAGGAGCTTGGAGGTTGGTAGAGTTGCCTGGATCTTTTTACAGTTCATTCTTTGTAGCTTTTAGTATCAAAGTGCTACTAGCTTGGAATGTTCTCAAACAGCTTGAGTCATTCTCATGCAAATATTCCACGAAGTGAATGCTCTGTTGTTTGCTCCGTGGTTATGGTGTACTGGGCATCAGGACAGGATGTGTCTTTTACTCCTAAATAATGGAATTGTGCCTCCAATTCAAAACAACATGGCATACATGCTTATGTTTCTGCCAATAAGGTAGAAACAAAAAAGAAAGAAAAGCAAGCTGTGTGCACACTACACAAAATAGTTAGGTGGATACTTGAACACAAAATCATTTTAAAGCCATACGTTCATGGCCTTGTCATGTGCTGATATGGTAAAAATAGTTGCCTGAGCTACCAGAAGAGAACCCCCAAAAGAGAAACCCCTGAAATACTGCCCTGGGAGCAGTGCCTCTGTCTGCCATGTGACCACAGCAAGGAGAACCATCATGCATCTGCTAACTCTGATTTCATGCCAACCTGGCGTTCTCCTACTTTGCTTTATTCAAATGAAATCACTTACTTTCCTGAAACACTAACAAAATAAAGATCCACAGCTAGCAAAGCACATGGGATTGTCTATTATTAGACTAGGCAAAACCTGGAGTAGCAGGAAAGTGTGGTGATTTTCAAAAAAGCACATATGGCAATGTTGAATAGGAAGGCCATGGTGCAGGGAACTGGTTTTGTGGCCTCCTTTAACAGGAGGAGATGTTTCCTGGCAGAGTAAAGCAGCTGGGAGTGCACATATATCCTGGGCCTAGGGTGAAGCGTGTCACTAATGTGCCCAAGGTGCCTCCAGGTTGGCCTTTCCCTGACTTCAGTCTCCCCCTTGTAAGGGGTGTCTGTGCCTGAAGTTTGCCAGGAGAGGCCCAAGGCTTCTCCTGAGATCTGCAGAAACATACTCTGTAGTAGTTAGAGCACACTGACATCCCCAGGTGGTAAGAGCTCTGGAAACGCAAAGCACAATCAGAGGCCATGGGGCGTGGGCTGTCAAGAGGAGTCAGCAAATCAACGTGAATGTTGTGCTGAGGAGCAGAATTTCTAATGGAATCTGGGTGTCAGCAATTCATGCTCTGCTGTGCAGAGCTTCAGGAAGAGCCCATGCAGGAGAAGTTCGGGTTGGAAAGGAATCCCGAAGCCTGTGCCTACTCTCTTTGCCCTGCCCTGGGACACTCCGGATCCTCCAAATTCCATCACCAGCCTTCCTAACTCCTGTCCTAACCCCAAAATGCTTTCTAAGATCAGCCTTCCAGAAGGAACTGTTGATAGCTGCTGAGATGATTGCCAGGATCCACAGAAATCAATCTCTTCCATTACTCTGGGGTCTCGGTGGATCTTTGTTAATGAGGTAGCTCAGTTGTGAGTTGATGCATGTGATGTGTGCCGTCCGCCACTCAAAGCTATAGTTTTCCCTTTTTTTATCTGCAAGACTATAAAAATACCAGCATTTCTCCCCGTTTTATAAAAATGATTTTTAGGAAAAAATACACATAGGTCTTCCCGGTTACACTTCTGTTCCATCTTGTAAATTGTTGTGAACTCTGACCTCCAGGTTCAACCTTTTTACTTTAGCACCTTTGAATGCACATGCCCCCTCAGCTTCGCTCAGGATGTTGACATTGCGCACCGTGCAGTACTGTCTGTTTACATTCTTCTCCACCCTGTCCAGGTGCCGCTTGGGCACATCCACCTTAGTATTCAGAGGGTATGCCTCCAAAAAGTTCCCCATGGGCTGTTTCTTCCTCTGCCTCTGACATTTCCTGGTGATGAAACAAGCCACCAAGAACACCAGAAGTAGAAGCATGATAGCGGCAAGGGCACTGCCGATAGATGCCCCGGTCTGGGACAGAGACGCGGCCACCACTGGCTCTTGCATCTCCAGGTTCAGGGATTTCATATTGGTGCCATTCTTGACTTGGTCTCCTTCATTATCATAGATGAGGGAATCATCAAGGATCAGCCAGCCACTGGGGTCCACCAGATCCCTTCGGTTGCGCCTCAGAGGGGCTGTGAGGGAGCGCTGGACCCGGGGGCCTGAGATGGTGTCAGGGCCGATGATGTAGATCACCTGGAGGTACCACTGGTGACCTGCTTCCACCTGCAGGAGGAGGGAGACAAGGAGACAAACCAAACATGGCATCACTGCCCACAGACCACCTCTGAAGAAAGGAAGTGGGGAGATCATTGCTGCATATGCCTTGGCAGGCAAACAGTTTCAAGAAAAGCATTAGCATTGGCTGGTGTCTACTAATACACAGAAAACTGAACCAAATATTATGGGTTCTATTTTATTTCCAGATTAGTGATCTTGAGTCAGTTGTTCACATTTTTTTTTTTTGTTTCCCTACCTGTATATGGAATAGCCTGAGAATTTATCATTCATGGTCTCTTTAGCTACCTGAATGTTTATGATTTGTTGGTCTTTATTGATAGCAGTGAAATAGTAGCATTAATAACCACATTTATTCCCAGTGACCACTAATTGCTTGTGATGCCAATCTACTAACAAACTTCAGCTGAAATGGAGTCATTCACCACATATTCACTATTCATCTACTCTATTCATCTATTCTATCTATCTATACACAGATACTTAACAACCATCTGCTAAATCTAAATGCTTCCTGAATCATCCCAAGAGGTTTCATCATCAAGTATTTTACTTTCCTCTCATTTGCCCTCATTGAAACCTTCCATGGTGTGTATATATATATATATATATATATACCATAGAAGGTTTATATATGTGTGTGTGTGTGTGTGTGTGTGTGTGTGTGTGTATGTGTGTGTGTGTATTAAACATATATATAAAATATATAAAATATTAAATAGTTCTGAAAAGTGATGGAATACTATTTGGAAACAGGAAAAAAAGGGAAATTTTATCTTGGAAGTTCATGTTTGCTGCTGGAACTTAGGATATTTTTGTTTATCAAAAACTAGTAATTCTTGCCATTCTAAGTTGCCATGTTGTATTTATGATTTTGTTAATGCTTTTCACATGCCTGTGCAAAGCAGCTGGTTCAGCATGGAACCCAAAAGGTAAGCAGAATAAAAGAACGTAGAAATAATTGGATTATCCTACGCAACCCTAATATACCCAGTGACAAGTGACTCTAGGCAAATTAAAGAATTTTATCATTGCTTTGGTCTCCTGGGAATGGATAGGGAGAATTTGGGTGAATAATAAGCTTAACAACAACAAAAAAGACCTGCCACCAAGAATGCTATATAAAGAAACTGATAGTCCAGACATGATGAGACCTCTTTTTTGCAAGCTTTAAAGTGGACTCGGTCTTCAGCTTCTTCTCTTCTCACCACACTCACCTTATAGAGTGCATCTACTTTCAGAGTGAATCCATCCACACCTGGCATGCTGCTGACCATGTGGAAATCAGGCAACTCCGAAGCAAAGTGAGCCTCAAAAGGCACATCATGGAAATATTTATCTGTCACCTCTGGCTGACTACGGTCCTGGAATTTCAGGAAAGAGACATGCAAGAATTAGAAAGCTGGAAGCCCTATGCTGGTAAGTGGCTGTTACCAGGAGAAGAGGACTCTTTCCTCCTGTTCAGGTTAGGTGGGAAGGTCCTTGCTAGGGAAGCCCTCTCCTTTAGTCAGTGGCTTCAAAAGAAGACACTTAGTGGCGTCCATGATCCCAAAGGGCAAAGAGGGGAATAGTCGAGATCAATAATTCTCAAGCTACTTGGTGCAGGACCCTTTAAACACTCAAAATTTAAGGACTCTAAGGAGGCTTTGTTTCTGTGACTTATATCCATCCGTATTTATATTGTGTTGAAAATTAAATCTGAAACATTTTTAAATGCTTATGTATTGATCCATTTTAAAATGACAATGAAAAATTTATTCCATGTTAACCTAAGTAAGAGTTTTTTTTTAGTGAAACCACCTGTATTCATCCCCTTCATTGTTTTACATGTTTGCAAGTCTTTAGAAAAGAACAGGATTCTCATAAGTGCTTCTGAATTCAACCAGTTGTGATATGCTATTTTGGCTGAGATATGTGAAGACACTCTAGCCGCACACAGCTCTGTAGCTAGAAAAGGGAGGAATGTCTTCACAGCTTTTTCAGATGACTATGGCTGGTCTTACATGAGACTAAGTCAAAACTTGGTAGATAGTATTTTTTAAAGTTAGGTACAATGTGGGGTCTGAAGTCATATCCATAAATGTTTTATAGTCTCTACCTCATGAAGAAATACATACAAAAAAGGCAGACATCATCATACTTCTATAAAAATGGTTTTGACTTTGCTGACCTCCTGGAAGAGGACTAGGGACATTCAGAGTCCCTGGACCATCCTTTGAGAAACACTTGCCTAGAGTTTTCTCTTCCGGGGACAGCAATAATAGCTTGCCTTACTATCCACCGTCACCATCACATTTGAGAGAGAGAGGGAGAGAACCAACAAGAGTGTGCGCTATTACTTTAGACAGAACTCATAGCTGAGGAAATCCACTTCAGTGTCTGCTCTTTAACACTATAGTCAGCATACCAGCAGCAGGAATCTGTGTTTGAGGTGTCTGTTTGGCTGAATGCATCCATACTGTGGTCCTTCATTATAGATAGTTCCCGTAGGATCAAAGAAAGGCACGTAGCCATCCTTGCCAGTACAGAGATAGACTTTCTCCAGCTGGAGTTTGTAGGCAGAATTAAGATTTTGTTCTGGATTCCAAAGTACTCGGCCATAAAGAATTTGACCTGAAAAGATTGAAAGGCATCTGTTAGGACAGACTTTAATATCGAAGAAAAAAAAAAAAAACAAGGATAGAAAGAATTTAACATTTTCTCCTAGAGTCCAAAGTACTTTCTTATGAAGAACTCTGGGATTCCATGTGCCCCTAAAATACTCGTTCAAGCATCTACTGCTTTTTGTGTTATTATTATTATTACTAGTCTCTGGGTCTACTTCCTAAGGGACATTTATTGCTTCTTCTATCAGTAGCCATTACTTAAGCATTTAAGATATGCAAAGCACTCTGTTACGCAGGGTGGATTCAAAGGTGAGTGAGATGCAGTTGACAGAAATAAAAGCAGAGTGAGTGATAAAAATAGTTCACATTGGTCAAACTCATACTATTTGCTGGCTACTGTCTTAAGTCCTTCTTGTGTGATAAGTCATGTAGTGCTCACAGTTTTACAGGTGAGAAAATTGAGGCACTGAGTGACTGAGTGACTTGTTGAAGGTCACAGACCCAGCAAGTGCTGAGGGTGGGACTTAAAGTCAAGGTATTTGGGCTCTAAAACCAAACCACCCCAACCCTGATTAGCCACCACAACACTACACTGTTGCATCGACGATAGAGGAAGGAATGCCATGGTAAGAGCACAAAGTCAAGGGCAGAAATCTGTCTGGCAAAAAGTATGGGAGGACTCCAAGGGAGACGAAATCTAAGCAGTGTCTTGAGACATGAGTAGGCACATGTGGAATGAAAGAGAGGCAGGAGAGAACATTTGAGGCAAAAAAAATCCATGTAGCCAGGCTCGGTGGCTCAGCCTGTAATCCCACGCCTTTGGGAGGCTGAGGTGAGTGGATTGCCTGAGCCTGTGGGTTCGAGACCCACCTGGGCAGGCAAGACTTCATCTCTACAATAAATCAAAAAATTAGCCGGGCGTGGTAGTGCGCGCCTGTAGTTCCAGCTACGTGGAAGGCTGAGGCGGAAGGATCGCCAGAGCCCAGCAGGTCAAGGCTGTGGTGGCCGGGAGCGGCCATTGCATTCCAGTCTGGGCGACAGAGTGAGACTCCAACTCAAAAAAAAAAAAAGTCCATGTATAAAACCCTGCTTCAGGGGTGTGATTCCTGGCGTGGCCTCTGTCTCTTGGGCCTGCTGTGGTACCACTCTTGAACAGCACTTTCTTCTTTAATCCTTCCAGGAGCCCCTAAGATGGGTTAAGTTATTATCCCCATTGTAAGTGACTTATCCAAAGTTCCATAGTGATGATGTGCTAGAAGGAGGACTTGAGCACGAATTCGTCCAATTTCAAATGCTCGTCCCAAGTACTGATCATGTGCTGAGTAAGCCAGTGTGACTGGAGTGAAGGATATGTGGAGACTTTGGTGGAGTAGACAGACTTTCCTTGCTGAGGAGGCTGGCCTTAACTATGTGAATAATAAGAAACACTGGGATTTTTTTAAAACATATTTTATTTTAATGAATGAATTTTTAAAGACAGGGTCTCACCCTGTCACCCAGGCTAGAGTAAAATGACTCTATCATAGCTCACTGTAGCATCTAACTCCTGGGCTCAAGCAATCCTCTTGCCTCAGCCTCCTACATAACTGGTATTACTGGTGCATGCTACTATGCCCAGCTAATGTTTTTTAAAAAAAATTGTAGCGATGAAGTCTCGCTATATTGCTCAGGCGGGTTTGGAACTCCTGGCCTCAAACAATCCTACTTCCTTGGCCTCTCAAAGTGCTACAGGCATGAGCCACCATGCCTGTACTGGAAGTTTTCGAGCAGAGTAGTAATATCAATACACATGGGCCTTAGAAACATGGAGAATGAGCCAAGGACAAACAGAGTCACAATACAGAGACACAGTAGGAGCTCTCTGAATGGTCTAATAAGAGACAGGCATCTAGAATATGACTGCAAGCAAAGGGGGGTGAGTCCAGAAGTCATCTAGAAGTCATTCATCTTAATGACAGATGGGTGTGGGCATGGAGGAGGAGTTGAGGGTGATCCTGAGGTTCTTGGTTAGGCACCTAGAGGAGGGTAATGCATCAGTGGGAGGGGCATCCTTAGAAGGAAACAGGTCAGCCAGGCTCGGTGGCTCAGCCTGTAATCCCGCGCCTTTTGGAGGCTGAGGTGAGTGGATTGCCTGAGCCCGCGGGTTCGAGACCCACCCGGGCAGCGATATCTCATCTCTACAATAAATCAAAAAATCAGCTGGGCGTGGTAGCGCATGCCTGTAATTCCAGCTACTTGGAAGGCTGAGGTGGAAGGATCGCCGGAACCCAGTAGGTCGAGGCTGCGGTAGCCGGGAGAGGCCACTGCACTCCAGTCTGGGCGACAGAGACTCCAACTCAAAAAAAAAAGAAGACAAGTCCAAGCCTGACATTCCTAGAGGTCTGAAAGTCATCCCACTTGGAGAGCTTCCGTAGTTTGGAAACACAGAAATGACACTCAAGGGACTTCAGGGTCAAAGTCACATTTTATGGGCAGTGGTGTGGCAGAGTGGAAGTCTAGGAAGTTCAGAGGGTGGTTCATGCCTCGATGACCAGAGGCAGCACTTAGGATAAAATGAGTGAGCACGGATCCTGGGTCATTAACATGGAAGACCAAGGAGAGCAAGAAGATGTGATCTGAGAGGCAAGATGATGTTGGTGAGGCTGATGCAAAGGAAACCAAACAGGAGAAAGTGTCATACCCATGGGCTTGGTGTCATCAAAAAGAGAAAGAAAAGATTCTAGCCTGCAGCAAGAGAAAAGAAGAGTAGCAGTAAAGATGGCCGTTTCTATCTAGAAAAGCATGCTGGAGAGTATGTATGCTTGACCTCCCTTTGAGAGTAGGAAGTAGTGGGGGATGGCATTGCAATCTCTCTGAAGAATTGAGAAATAAAATATCTTACCCAAAAGTAGACAGTGTCCTGGAGTCTGGTCGGAAATGCCAGTCTCCTTACTACTCAGGCCAGTCGTCACAGTGCCAAACATGTGATTTGCTTTTGAAATACCATGGAAGAAGTACATGGGTCTGATCCCTGACTCAGCCTTGCCTATCCTGGGGAACCCTCACTGGGAGCTGACTGTTAGTTGATGAGCAGCGATGCTCATCCAGAGACCTCCCACAATGCATCTTCCCCCAGGCAGGGCCTCTTTCTGCAGGGGAAGAGGCAACATACCTTTCGAGAAGGCTCCTTTGTAATCCATTTCTGCCAGTGACATATCCGATGTATTGGGATCCATCAGGAACACCTTCTCGTTATTGCAGAGCTGAAACTCAGTGTTGAGTGAATACACGACCGGCACGGGGCGGTTGGTCTGCTGGAATGCAATGGGTATCAGAAACCTAAATGTGGGAGAGATGAGAGCTCTGTGAGGGCAGGGTCCGCTTCACATGGGTCTCCAAGTCCCTCTTTTTCCCCATCCTTCTCAGGACTTGCACAGAGCTTTGCTGTGGGCACTAAACATTGAATAAAGAGATGTGTGCAGGGAGAGGACTTTATTTGGTCATTATCAGGTTAATCTGCTCTTTTGAACAGGATAATTAATTAGCCGTTAGAACTCTTTGGTAGCCCCCTTTTTGTGTCTCTTCATTCTGGGGGCCCCCGGAGATGCTCCTTGATTGCTAAAGGGCTTGCTGCCATGGCGTCCCGCTGGATTTCTTTCCAGAGCCGCATGCTCTGAGATCTTGACTCTTTCAGCCCCATCACAACTGTTTCTACCCCATGACCCACTTCCAGGATGTTGCTGGCGATGCTCTCCTGCCTCACCCCTTACTCCTGCCTCCTTTTTCATGAGCCCCTTCCTTTTCTGCCTCCTTCTGACAGGTAAGGGCCCCTTGGGGCCCCCTCCCGGGACAACTACTGCTCTCCCTGGATAATTCTGCCCAAGGTAATCTCAGCCTTCTCACTGAGTGTATCTCAGAGGTAGTGATGTCAAGTTTAACTCTAGCCCAGATTTCTCCTTTAAGCTCCAGAAACACACATCTGGCTGCCAATTGGTAGCTCAAACTCAGCATGCTTTCAAACCATTGTTCCTCTTTTCTCTTAGGAGAGACCCAGTTCCTGCCCCACAGAAACTTTAGCACATGTGTACCAAGAAATAATGTATATAAAAGAATATTCTTTGTAATAGAGAGAATCTAGAATAATAAACCAAATAGTGGGTCAAATCCATTGTGGAATATTTCTACAATTAATATTGTAATGCGGTGGACAACAAACTACAGCTATGTGAATCAACACAAATGAATCAGCAATGACTCACTGAGTTAAAAAAAAAAAAAAAGCAGCAGTATGTAGTATGAAATTTGCATATAATGGTCGCTCCCTTATCTGCGGTTTCATTTTTCATGGTTTCAGTTACCTGCAGTCTAAGGTGGCCCAAAATATTTCATGGACAATTCCAGAAATAAACAATTCCTAAGTTTTAAATTGCACACTGCTTGTGTAGCATGATGAAATCTCATGCTGTTCTGCTCACATCCATCTCAGGACATGAGTCCTCCCGGTCGTATGTCTCCACATTGGACACACCTCCAACCCTCAGTCATTTGGTAGCCATCTTGGCTGTCAGATTGAAAACACAGTATGTATAGGGCTTGGTAATATCCACAGCTTCAGGCACCCACTGAGGGTCTTGGAGTGAACGAGGATAAAGGTGGACGACCATATAGAGTTCAAACATTTGCAAAACCATGTAGAAGTAAACACAAGGTAAACCATAAACCCAAATAAGGAGTGATCAATACAAATATCAGGTTAGTGGTTATCCTAGTGGAAAAGAGGGAGAGTGATTGGATAGGGGTACTGAGGTATTTAGAAAGTTCTGGTAATGCTGTGTTTCTTGAAGAGGATGATAGATCCATATAGAGACAAAGTTTTCTGTATATCTGAAATATGCATAATTTGGAAAAATTACAGATGAGTGATATCCAATCACATTATTTGCCCTATGTAGCCAATAACCATTTTCCTGGTTACCTTTCCTCCCTCACTTGGCTCCCTCACTTGGCTCTCTCTGGCATTGCTCCTGCCATCAGGCTTAGGGACTTCCGCGTTCTCATGGATGCAGCACCCACCTCTCCAGTCTGTCTGCTCCTGAGCTCCTCAACTCCACAGAGCACACTCTCTACCCACTGAGTACACTACACTTCACTGCCCCAATATGTACCATCACCATCAGGCTTGGGGACTTCAGCGTCCTCATGGATGCAGCACCCACCTCCCCAGACTGTCCACTCTTGAGCTCCATGGGGTATGCTCTCCACCCACTGAGTCCCCTGCCCTTCATAGCCCTACTGTGCACCACCACCATCAGTCTTGGGGACTGAAGTCTTTAGCATCCCCACAGATGCAGCCCGACCCCAGCATGTCTACTCCCAAGCTCCTCACCTCCACAAGGCACTCTCTCCACCCGCCCTTCACAGCTCTACCATGCACTGTCTCATTTCCAACACTGCACTTTCTACCACCCCAGTCTTCCCAGTTCCTCCCTTCTCTTACTCCTGCTTCCCAACTAATAACTACATTAGGACCCCAAACCCCTCTCCAGGGCACAGAGGAATGGGAGGACAGTTTGCACATGCTTGGTAGGAATGTATATGCACAATTACATGTTTACAAACAGTTTCATAAAAGGGTTTCTTAAAGAGTTAAGTATACATGTATCACATGATCCAACCACTCCATTTTTAGGTATTTACACAAGAAAACAGAAAACGCATATCCACATGAGTCTTGTACATATGTGCTCCTAGCAGCTTTATTTATCATAGTCCAGGACTGGAAGCCACTCAAGTGTCTATCCATTGATGAACTGATAAATTATAATACATCCATACCATGGAATATAACTCAGCAGTAACAGGAATAAACTACTGATTGTGTTCTCTCACATTGTACTACACAACATGGAAGAATCAAAATAATCACACTGAGTGAAATGAGCCAGAGAAACAGAATTCATACTGTATGACACCATTTATGGAAAATTCTAGAAAATGCAAACATCTCTAGTGACTGAAAGCAGATCAGTGGATAGCTAGGGAGAGGGAAGGGGTGGGTGGGAGGCAGGAACTACAAGGGGCATAGGACAACTATCTTGATATGGACATGTTCATTATCCCGACTATGGCATTCTTACAAGTGTGTACACACATAAACATTTATCAAATTGTGTGCTTCAAATATGAGTTTATTTTGCATCAGTAATGATGGTTTAAAAACAGTTCAGTTCTGCCTACTCTGCTAGTGACAGCCCTCTTGTGAGTCTACTTCTCGACGCTCTGTGATGACTGTTCCACCTCCTCTTCCTTCTCAGCCTCCACATTCCTCAACTCCAGCCAGGGCATGGCTTCTCATTTCACAGGGGCAGCAGAATCATCCAGATCCACTCTGTCATCCTCACCCTCCTACTCCGCTAATTCTCCCTTCACTGCATCCACAGCTCTGCTCTTCCTCCTGTGTGGATAAACTCTCCTCTGTGCTTCCAGGGGAGGTCAGCCCTTCCCTTGGGCTCTGGATCCATCCCTTTGCCCTACCCTGGATGTGGCTCTGCAAATCTTGCCTTTGTGCCCTGTACTAAATTTCCCCCCACATCACTGGATTATTGCCATCCACATACAACATCCTGAAGGTGTTCACCCTAAAACACAAACAAATAAAAACTTCTTCTCACTTGATCCTTCATCTCTTTCTTGTTACTACCCCTTTGCTCTGTTCTTTACAGCAAGATTCCTTAAACATGTTTATCCTGTGTCTCCACCTTCTCACTTCTCTCAGGAACTCCCTCCATTCAGGCTTGTGTTCCCCTCGGTCCAATGAACCTGCCCTTGGAGAAGATCATCAATGACCTCAGTATTACAAATCCAACGTCCAATCCTGTCTTTTAACTTAAGTCACATTTCAAACAGTCTTCTCTAAATGTTCATTTCAGACTTTGTCTTCAGCATCTTCCCTCAGAAGTGTTTTTTTATATATTTTGATAACTCCTAGAAATGTGACCCTAGACTGTAAACAGCCGAGAACACAGCTTACTTCAAGCCTCTGCTCTAACCTCGTGCTAAAATCTCAGTGCCTAGGCCAGAGCAAAGCGCATAAGAGTTAAATAAATACTGAATGAACAAACGTTATGAGTGAATGCATGAATATATGGCACAAGACAGACAGTCTCAGGTTTTAGGTGGATATGGGCTGGTGCATGGTTAGCATGCTCTAGAATGCCTCCACCAACACTGAATCAGTGGACACTGAGCCATCGCTCCTAGGAGAAATGCAGGGTTGGTTCTTGCGGTTGCTGGTCACATTGTCATCAACCAATCAATACATAACATTGTTTCATGTGTGTTTCTGTTTAAGGAGTCCTACTTAATATACATTATTGATTCACTAACATGAGCTCATGGTTATCTAACACTCCAGAAGGCACATCACAGCCTTCTTGGGCTTAGAAGTACTAGAAAACACTTCAACACTATGCTTAGGAGCCGTTTTTAAATAAAGAAATCAATAACAAAGAGCACCAAAGTGTGAAAGACATGGCATTAAACAGACCTCACAAAGGACACCGGTTTGTAGTATGAAAGCTGAAACAAAGAGGCAGAATGTCACCTTATCTGACCTCAGCTGGGGACATGTGTGGTAGGTGACTAGAACATTTTGCCACTCTGTGCACAGCAGTGAATATCTGTGAAAGCACCATGAATGTTGATTTGGGGGATACAAATAAAAATCAGTGAGTGAGAGAGTTCACAACTAAAGGAATCCACAAATAAGGAGACTTGACTGTATTTTCCTACCTTTCCGGGGCGTGTGCAGTACAGGCCAGAGGCTTCTCTCCAGGGTCGACCCATGGCTGCGTGGGCTGTACTGTGCAGGGGATCAGGTAGATGGTGTACTCCCCCGAATAGTCTTTCCTGGAACATGCAGAGCAGACTGTGGTCAGAGGGAGCAATGCATAGGTGCCTGGAGGATCCAGAAAGACATGGACATCTCTGAACAGCTTTCGGGTGGCATTTGTGTCTAGCACCCAAGGACTTTACAAGTCTGCAGACACCCTCCTCAACTCATTTCTGTTCATTCTAATCTTCAGAGCATTACCCAGAGGCACTGAACAGAGTGACTTTTATTATTTAAGTTCTCATGAGCACAGCTGAGAAAGATACACTGTCTATAAAAAACCTGAACGGCTCAGGTGATGCCAGAACAACTCTCGCCTTTTCCTTTAGGCATCAAGAAACTCATTTGATGATTTCTGTTTAGTGTTTCTTGCAGGCTGACACCCTCTCTAACACCTTCCCAAGTGCAAGAAAAGAGGCTTTTGTTTATTAAGATGTGACGGTGTCAGGTGTTACTCAGAGAGGAGGAGCGAGCTTCTCGGGATGACAGGGTGCCATTCTAGAGCGCGTGGAGGCTGAGCCTTGTAGCACACCTGCCTATTTCACTGGCACTCAGCCCTGAGGCTCCCTTTGAGCTCTGCAGCCTTATGCCCTTGTGAAATCGAAAAGCAAGGTCACTTCTCACTGGAGCCTCCTCACGTGTGGCCTGGGACCCTCAACGTCGTGAACCTTTGCATCCCTCACCCACTCTATCCACACTTATCATGGGGTAGCAGCCCAGCCCAGGCAAGTGACTGGAAGGTAGCCAAGTATCTGGAAACTTCGGGAAGCTTGGGGGGCTAAAAGCTCGGGTTGGGAATCTTCATGATACTATCATGAGTGAGTGATCTGTAAACAGTTCTCACAAATGCTGTGCTTGTTCTTTGACCATTTCTTTAATACTTACCTATGTATTAGTAAATGGTGATAGCAAAGATTTGGTGGAAAAAGAAAACTTTATGTCATATCCTGGGGCCAGTTTAGTGAAGTGGCCCAGGTTGGAAGCTGGCAGTCTAAGTTTGGTTTGGCTTCGCCTCAGCCATGGTTGCATGACTTTAGACAAACCATGCAAACATGCAGGGCCTTTGTTTCTAAACTCCTGCCTATTCTTAAAGTCTGTATGTCTGCAGTTTTCCCATGTGATTCTCATCTTCTTCCAAAGCCTGGATCAGCAGGAAATTCAAAGTCAATGAGAGTGAGCACATAGGGTACGAGCAGTAACCCTGAATTAAGAGGAATATCCACTTAGTAGAGTGACCCATGCCAGATCTCGGGCTTCTCTGCTGGGGCCCATAGGGGCTCTCCCTGCACTGCGGAGTGAAAGTTGACTCTGTCCTGTTTAACCAAACCCTGCAGAGTGGCTCCACCCCCTCAATTCTTGCAAGTCTCATTTATCACCCTTTTCCTTGCTCACTCCCCTCCAGCCACACTGGCCAAAATACTACATCCTAGGACCTCTGCTGTGGATGAGCATGGCCAACATGGCCGACTACCTCCCTCCTTCAAGTCTACTCAGGTGAGGTCTACAGGGAACAGCCTGACTAAGACCATAATGCCTGTGTCCTGCTCTCCACCTTTTACTTTTCGGTGGCACGCATCACCTCTGACACACATCGTACCTGACTTGCTGCGTCTACTGTTGTGTGTCTTCTCACTATGAGTCCTGTATCCAGGGATCTTCATTTCATTTTCCAAGGTATTCCAAGTGCCCAGAACCTTCTCTAACACACAGTAAACATGTAACAAATATTTGCTGAGCAAATGAATGCAGGACCACGTGCACGGTCTCCCAGGCCTCTGTCCTGTTCTCCCATTCCTAAATACTGTTAGCTCAAGTTCCTTACTGTCCCTGCAAATGTGCCAATAATCACAGTCCTAGATGCAGGTCCTCAATCCAGTAGTCCTTCCCACCTCCTTTCTAAAAATTAACACTTCCCCTATTACCACATAGAACACACTTTGTCTCACATCCCCTGGGAAGCTGTGTGCAATCCCTGGCCTCCTCTGGGCTGTCTCCTCCCTGAACAACCACGGTCTTGATGTTCTGCACCTCTCAGTTTGCTCAGCCCAGAATGCGTGCCGGTGTTCTGCCTTCTGCCATTTATCTCCTTGCCTCAAAAGCAAGCTCCTAGAAGATGCTCATTCAGGACCTACCTGCGCTAAAACCTATGTCCTGGGATCTAAGATGAGGCAGTCGTGCTTTCTATCTGGGGAAGCTCACGGACTAGTTAAAAATATGGGAGACCAACATAAAATAATGAGTTGTGCTATGACAAGCAGGAACAGGATGGAAGCCAGGTGGAGGGGCTGCCACCCTTGTGGGGAGTCAGGGACACTGCCATGGGGTCGACATTGGAACTTGGTCTCAGAGGCGTCCATGTTGCGGGAGGAAAAGGGAAGGAAGGGTAAAGGCATGGAGGTGTGAATGGGCTGAGGTTCAGGACTGGCAAGAGGTTTAATGTTGTTAGAGGCTGGGTTTGAAATGAGGCTGGAGGGGAGGGCTGTGCCTCATCTGCTACAGGAAGAGGATGAGTTTCATCCAGGAGGCCAGGAGTGTGGGGGTTGGAGAGGAAGCTGTTCTTAAAGGAGGACTGCTTCCCTGCTGGGTGTGGGGGTTGGGGAGGGAGGTACTCTTAAAGGAGGACTGCTTCCCTGCTACAAACTGGGACAAGATGCATGGATAGTCTCGTGAGGCTCCAGGAGGCACAGTCCTTGAAGACGATTACATTGGTTTCAATAAACCAATATATAATATGTAATAAAAAATACCTGATATGAGCTCAAACATTCATGATTAAGAGCATCTTTTTGAAAAGGATTCTTGGCAATGATATTATGGCCATGTTGTAAGTTGTATTTTTTTTTTTTTAAGATCACTATATTGGGAACCTGGTCCACTATCAGGGAAGAGGGGACCAGCTAGAAGCCCAAACATCCCCTGCATGAAACTTTCTAAGGTAGTAAAGCCTCATTTGTACTCACAACTCTAAAATTAAAAAAAAAAAAGAAAGAAAAGGATTCTTAAGACAATCTGCCATCTCTTAGCTGTAAAACTGGAAAATGATTTTAATTCTAAAGATGGTTCTTAATTCCACGCTCTGCACTATGGGGCTGAGGACATTCATGGCAGACTCCTGGTGGCCCACCTATCCTTCTCATGGTAGCTTTAATTCTATCTTTTTTTTCTGTTCTTCTCTTTGTAGATAGGGCGTTTTAATGTATTTATTCAGTTCTCATTCTACCTCTATGCTGGATGTGGGGTAAAGGAACAAATCTTGTTATTTATTTATAGGACACTGGCCTGTCAGGGATGATGCCTGGACTTATAACCAGAGACCCTAGATTTTTGCACTGGCTGCCATAGTTAAAATGACATTTCTCTGTTATGCTAAGATTTTAGTTAGACATATTTCCCGGAGCTCCCTGTAGGCAGGTGTGCCATGTGGTCAGGCCCCCCCTCTATCATGGGAGGCGAGTGGAAATACCTGGCCCATCCTGATCTCATTCTTGGAATTAGCATGAATATTTCCTAGTTACACCCAGAAATTGGTCTGAACTGGGTTTGTCTCTTTCTCTATTTGTTAGAGTGTTGTTTCCACCTACCTCCCTTTTAAAATAGAAGTACAGCTCCAGAGAAAAGTCCTATTTCCCAAGTCCTGAGGGAAACTGAAAGACTTTCAGAACTCCCTGCCAGAAGCCCCCGACATCATAATCACCTGTTATAAGAGCTTGTCGCTCTCCAGAGCTGGTGCGGAGAATCAAATGTTTGAGCACTCCACAACAGCTGCAGGTCAAATTCGATTCCTCCTAAGTGGTCTGGAGTCAAGATGAAGGATTTCACATCTGGGAGAGTGTGGTGCTCCATCACAAACTGTCCTATTTCAAGGGGAGACACATGTACTCGTTTGTGAGCTTTATTGTACTCATGGTGAAGCCCCTACCAAAGATAAGAACTGAATTAGCGTTCCTCTATCAACCAACTAGGGTGGTGTGCTTTTGCCCCTTAGAATATATTCCACACTGGTCAGGACAGCATGGCATTTCACCCAGCCCACATCCTGCTTATGATGTCATCATAGTTGTGGGCCTTTACTTATAAACGATATGAGCATGCCTTGTGGAAATGGGGCTAGTGAATACATTTTCACAGTAACAGGGGCTTTTATCTGACAATGAACATTGAATATACATAGCTCTGAATTCTAACCAATATGCTTCTTGAAGGTAGAAAGGTCTCAGTAGTTTATAGATAGAAATATAAATGTGGAACAAAAAATCACATTTAGGGCCACTCTACTCCTTGGTGGAAGGAGACAATTGTAAACATTATTAAGAAGGTAAAGGTAACCAGCAAGATACTGCCCTAAAACTGCAGTGATAAGGTGTTGTGAACACAAAAATCAAGGGGATCATTTTAGATAAAAGGAAACTAAAGAAATAGAGCAACTAAAATGTGACCTATCATCTTGATGGGATCCTCCTTCTTTTAATATAAGCAGATATAAAATAAATAATATAAAACAAATGGAAAAGACACTTGTGGGACAACAGAGGAAATATGGAGACTGGATTTTACTATTTCAATGCTACATGTCTTGGAAGTGATATTGGCATTGTGATTGTGTGAGAGAAAGTCCTTGTTCTTAGTAAAAGGCGAAAGATTTATATGATCTGAAGAGAAACCAGAATGTATGTCCTTGTTCTTAAGAGATGTTTACTGAACTATTTTGGATAACTTGACATGAAGAACAAAATGTTAACAGTTGTTGACTGTTTTTTACTGTTCTATTATTTCTAGTTTTCTGTATGTTTGAAATATTGTTTAATAAAAAGTTGGGGGAAAAAACATTAATATTACCTCTGAATTTGGCATGGGTCTTGAATTCAATGACAAGACGGCCGTCCTCGCGAATGTAGATTCTTATTATCTGAAGTCTTGCAGAGAGCACACTGTCTGTTTGGATTCCTGGGTAGGCAATCATACACAAAATGTCCAAGTTAGGGCATGGAGAAGACCTCCCAGACAGCAACATACATGTGGATTATCCCAGGGACACCTCTAAGTAGTGCTGCACATTTATTTGGATGTAACTTACAATAATATACATATTCACATGCATATAGTGTCTATAGAGACATATGCCAATTAAAATTATATGATAGCTCATTTCATTTGGTTCTTATTTTACAGTTCCACTGTCCTTGACATAGACAAGAACATTCCTGTAAGTGCTACCAAGCCCCGATGCAGGCTCAGCAGAAAAAAAAAAAACTTAAAATGTTTCACTGTCAAACTTTACACCAGAATGTGGTTACTGTACATCTGCTTCATACCATATTTTCTTTTCCTCACCCTTTCAGGATTTAATGGAACCATAAACACAGTCCTGGTGGCTACACTTAGTACTCAAGCCAAAGGAAAATTAAAGGAAAGCTTGTAGAAGGCAGTGGTAAATGGCATAACACAAACAAGCTGTGGCTTCAATAAAGGTAACTGCAGTCCTGGTCCCCAATGTGTTCCAAAAGACCAAAACCAAAAGGTAACCAAAGAGGAGAAAATAAAGTTGATACAAAATAAAACAAAAACCAAAGCTCAGGAATTACTTGGTTCAAAGTGTGGGCAAAGCTTCTGGCATCATTTCCCTATAAGAAATATAAAGCAAATAAATGATTTCAGTGTCAGTCATTTGACAGAAGAAAGGACTATCCAGTCATACTCAGTGTCCATGGGTTCTGCATCTGTGAATTCAACCAACCTCAGATCTAAATATTAGAAAAAAATATTGTATCTGTACTGAACATGTGTAGACTTTTTTACTTGTCATTATTATTTTCTAAACAATACAGTATAACCACTATTTACATAGCATTTGCATTGTATTGGGTGTTATAAATAATCTAGAGAATATTTAAGCAGGGGTCCTCAACCCTGGGCAGTGGATCAGTACTAGTTTGTGACCTGTTGCAGCCAGGCTGCACAGCAGGAGGGAGCAGCAGGTGAGTGAGCCAAGCTTAATTTCTGTTCTCACTACTGACATTACCGCCTGAGCTCTGTCTTCTGTCCAATCAGCGGTGGCATTAGATTCTCATAGGAGCATGAACCCTATTGTGAACTGTGCATGCAAGGGATCTAGGTTGTATACTCTTTATGACAATCTAATGCCTGATGATCTGAAGTGGAGCTGAGGCAGTGACGCTTGCACTGGGGATCAGCTGCAGATACAGATTAACATTAGCAGTGAGGTTTGACTGCACAGAGACCATAATGAATCAATTGCTTGCAGACTTATATCAAAACCGTATCAGTGAGTGGCAAGTGAGCTGATGTACTTCATTTATATAGCTGCATCTGGTGGCAGGTTTTGAGTCAGAATCTGACGCTTATTTTAGTCTGTGTGTGGCCCACTCACTATTTTATTTACCACTTCCATTTGCACCTCTTTCCTGTACTGTACACTTGTCTCAGTCACAGTTTTGGTAAGCCCACAAACTAACCCTAGTCAAAATGAGTAAAAAACAAATGTCACTGGAGACCTTTGAAAAGGGGAAAAGACCCAATGATGAGACTCTAAGACTGTCAACCAAAAGAAAGCTGTGTTTAAAAGAAAATACCAAGAATCCTATTTCAATTATGGTCTCATTGCAACAAGTGATTCACATTCTTCAAGCCTGCTTTGTATATTATGTGGTGACTGTCTATCCAATGACACCATGAAACCTTCAAAACTGTTTTGCCACATGGAGACCAAGCACCCAACATTAAATGACAAGCCTTTGGAGTTTTTCAAGAGAAAAAAATGTGAACACACAAAGAACAGAAACAACTATTGAAGGCCATCATTTCATCAAATGTGTCTGTACTGAGAGCATCATTCTTAATGGCTAATGGCATTACTAAAGCTAAGAATCCCTTTACTACTGGTAAAGAGTGATACTGACTGCTGCTAAGAACATCTGTCATGAAGAGGTTGCAGTTCAAAAGGTGGCATGTTTCTCTTTCGGCTAGTACCATGACTAGACAAATTAATGAAAGAGTAGAGGATATTGAGGCACAATTGTTAGAGAGGATTAACGAGTTGTGGTATGCAATCCAGGTTGATGAGTCTACCGATGTTGACAACAAGGCAACAACACTTGTTTTTGTGCAATATACTTTTCAGGAAGGTGTGCATGAGAGCATGCCACTTTTGTTGCCACCCAATACCACAGCTGCAAGGACTATTCAAGTCTTTGAATGATTACATATTAAGAAAACTGAATGGGTCATTTTGTATCAGTATATGCATGGATGGAGCAGATGCTATAACTGGATGGCTTTCTGGTTTCACTACTTGGGTCAAAGAGGTCACTTCTGAATGTGAGTCTATGTACTGTGTCATCCATGGAGAAATGCTGGGTAGCTGAAAAATTTCACCTGAATTTAACAATTTTGAACTTAGCAGTTTTTCAGGATGTGATTAAAATGATCAACCACATTAAAGTACATGCCTTTAACTCACATCTGTTCATGTAGCTCTGTGAGGAGATGGATGCAGAGCACACACGTCTTCCCTTATACACAGAAGTAAGATGACTTTCTAAAGGTAGATCACTGGCCAGAGTTTTTGAATTATGAGAGCCACTCCAGAGATTTCTTCTGGAAAAACAATCACCACTGGCAGCACATTTCAATGACACAGAATGGGTTGCAAAACCTGCTTACTTGTGTGACATATTCAAGCAGCTCAAATGAACTCAACTTGTCATTTCAGGGGAGAACAACAACTGTGTTCGAGTCAGCAGATAAAGAGACTACATTCAAAGCCAAACTGGAATTATGGGGTCGACGAGTGAACATTGGGATTTTTAGTATGTTTCAAACGTTAGCAGAGATTTTGAAAGAGATTGAGTCAGGACCTTCTTTCTTCCAGCTGGTGCATGATCACCTTTCTCAGCTTTCAAGAGTTTGAGCATTACTTTCCAACTACAAAAGACCCCTGAACTGGGAAGGAATGGATCTGTGACCCATTTGTGAATAAGCCAGGTGAACTGACTTTGTCCATGCTAGAAGAGGATCAACTACTTGAGATCGCTAATGACGGTGGTCTTAAAAGAATGTTTGAGACAACTTCAAATCTCCAGACATTCTGGATTAAAGTCAAGAGAGGAATATCCTGAGATTGCCACAAAAGCACTGAAAAGTCTGCTTCCATTTTCAACATCCTATCTTTATGACTCAGGGTTTTCTGCACTGACAGTAACCAAAATGAGATTATGGAGTAAACTAGACATAGCAACACACTTCAGGTATCACTGTCTCCCATTATCCTCAGATGGGACCGTCTAGTTGCAGGAAAACAAGTCAGGGCGCCCACTGATTCTGCATTATGGCGAGTTATATAATAATTATTACATTATATATTATAATGTAATAATAATAGAAATAAAGTATACAATAAATGTAACATGCTTGAACCACCTCGAAACCATACCCCTATCCTCCAGTCTGTGGAAAAATTGTCTTCCATGAAACTGGTCCTGATGCCAAAAAGGTTGGGGGCTGCTGATTTAAAATATATTGGAGGATGTATATTGGTTATATGTAGATATGACACCTTTCATATCAGAGATTGCACATCCTTGCATTTTGGGGTCAGTGGGAAGTCCTGGAGCCAGTTCTGCATGGGTCCTGAAGGACAACTGTACTTTATTTTTGAGTTGGAGTCTCACTCTGTCGCCCAGGCCAGAGTACAGTGGCACACTCACGGCCACCCCAGTGTTGACCTGCTAGGCTCTGGCAGTTCTTCCGCATCAGCATTTCAAGTAGCTGGAACTATAGGTGCACGCTACCACACCCAGCTAATTTTTTGATTTATTGTAGAGACGAGATCTTGCCAAGTTGCCTGGGCTGATCTTGACAACTGTAGTTTCAATTACTGGAGATGAAACCCCAGCTAAAGAAAATGTCTAGCTTTTTAGTATCTCTGCCTCAGATAAAGCACATCACTCCTAGAGAGGGGAGAAAGGAGAGTAGGAACAGAAGGAGGAATAGGTTTGGAGAAATGTTTGATACAGGACAATGAAAATGGAAAGAGAAACAACATTCAGTTGACAGTGTCCAGCTTGGAAAAAACTGTGAACAACAACAAAAAACAACCAAGAATCGTGGGGGCATTTATGAGGAAGGAGTGGGAGAGGCGGGTAGGGCAAGACACTGAGTAGGAGTAAGGCGTGAGTTCCTAGCTGAGAGGTCACCTCCTGTCCAATCCATAGGGGGCTGCTCTCCAAGAGGACAAGGATGGAGATGAGGGGAAGGTCATCCTAAAAATTCTTCATTGCAGGCCGAAAGTCCCCAGAGTTTAAATCCTTGCTTTTGAGGATGAAATAAAAGAGCCAAACCCATGCCATATGAATCAAGCGGGCCACTGACATGACTACGCCAAGTGTTCTTGACATATTGTTCCACTTCCATGCAACTTATCTAAAGATCCTTTTGCTTTGTCAACAGTATGAATCGTACTATTTTCAACGAGGAGGACATGAACATTATATCAGTTGTACTCCAAAGCCACACACACCCCTCTGAATCCCTGATGGGCAGGGTAGAGCCCTTTGTCAGTGGCTGTCCTCTACTTTGGGTCCTAGCCATCTGGGCTGAGACCTGCAAGCGTCAGGACAGATGGACATCATCCTTTTTCGGAAACCACATATCTGTACATGTTCCAGACTTGAGGTGGCCCACTTAAAAAAAAATTTTTTTTTTTTTGTGTAGAGACATGGTCTTGCCATGTTACCCAGGCTGGTGTCAAACCCCTATAGCCTCAAGTACTCCTCCCACCTTGGCCTTCAAAGTGCTGGGATTATAGGCGTGAGTCACTGCACTTGGCCCAAATGGTCCCTCTCTTTGTGTACAGGACAACATGATGAGGAATGCAGTTATCATTAAAAGTTGCAGTTTCATTATTTCTTTTAATTTTGCTTTAGTGTAAGATGGGGATGGTTAAGTTGTCAATGGGCATACCTGTTCTCCAGAGAACAGTGTCGTAGAAGAAGGAGAACTCCATCTCGGTATGGTGCTCCAGGGAGGCCCAGCCCCTGGGGGCTGTCACGTAGATGTAGGAGACATACAAAGGCACGTGCACTGTCAGGAATGACTGCGCAGAGTCTCTCACCTGCCAGGAGACAGCAGGCACAGAGTCATTTCTTTCCAGGATGGAAAGGTGCACAATCGTCACATCTCGGTTCAGTTTCGGTTCACTCATTTAGTCATGAATGTATTCGGCAGTTATTAATCAAGTGCCTACGACTACATTTAATTATTAAAAAAATAAGCAAGGGGATACAAAGTGGCCAGGATGCTTCTTTAGACAGAGTGATGTGCGAGAGCTTTTCTGAAGGCTTTCCAGAACATTTTCAAAGTGTGAGAAGGAGCTTTGCCTCCATTATTGATTGCCAGAAGCCTTGGCGGAAATTTTAAGATATCACAGTTATTCATAAGGGATTCACCTGGTGGGCCTGAGGTCCACAATTCAGTGCAAGCTCCATCCATTGAGCATTTGCCAATAACTTGTAGGGAAGTCTGGATCAATTATCATCAGGAAGTGTGGACGCTGGGGCTGAATGTGGGCCTGACTTGGATGTTTTAGTGATTATAGTGCTCTCATCTGCTCCACAATCTAGGTCGTGGGCTCTGGAAATCACTTCTAGGAAACTTACCAATGACAGCCTAGAGCTGCACAGACTTCAGTACTGTGAAAAGGCAGCATATCACACTTTCTGGGGAACAGTTCTTCTAAGGGGTTCCTTAGTTACTCCTATTAATTTGGCCCAATCATTTTTGTTTTACTATGCAGTGAATAAAAATTAGCTGAAAATATAAAATATTAGCAGAAGCTTTCAGGGCAACTCTGTGTATTTGAGTGTGAGGGGAAGTTGGTTTACTCATTTTTAATTTTTAAAAAAATTTTCTGACATAAACATATATATATTTGTTTTCTAACAAAAAAGCATAGTTGACAACAATTTCATTTTGCCATTGGCTGAATACTACAGTATACCATGGGATTTATTTTTTTCTTTTGTTTGAAAATACAATGTAAAGTATATCTTTGGAGAATTGAGGAATGAGCCAAATGCTTTAGCAATATTTTTCAAAATAATTTTTTAATGTTCAAAGTTGTGGGACTTAAAATTCGATGTTGACTTTTTCAAAAGAATCTACTAACTCCATATTCATTACAAAATCTTTTTGACATATCTTTTTTTTTTTTTAAAGAATATCTCCAGATTTTATCTGGATCTCACACCATGTTCTACCCCTAATACACAGGTTTTGCTACATAGACCTACTGCCAGATATACTGTGCTAGGTACCTTTCCTTGTTGAGATTATTAGTCATAGTTTGAGATGAGGTTCAGAGAAGTTATGCCTGTCCAAGTCTACTGATATTCCATAGAGAAAGGTATAATAGTAGGCCTTGATTGTAAGTTCCATATTATTTCCACCACACACCAACGGCTTTAATTATTTTGAAAAAAAACAGATAACAGTGAGATCTTTCCATGCATATATATTTTCTGTGTTGGTTTAAAAAGTGGGATACATTTAAGAACTCCTTGTCTTTGAGATATTTAAGCATATTCTAAACAAAAAAAAATCAAAAAATATAGTTGGGGCAAAATCATAAAGAACAGAGATCATTAATTTTTGAGAGGGCAGGGGAGGAACATATCACAAGGCTTTGCATTTCCAAAGTGATTGTAGGTTATGCAACTGCAGAAACAGAAAGAAAACCTCAGGGCACCTTAAAATCCTACTCGGTAGGTGGCAGTAGTGTTTACAGGATGACAGGCATCACAAGGAAAACAACACATTTTCATCAGTTACTTTTCCCAAATGATTACTCTAAATGCCTCTGCACATTTCCTCCTTCAGTGCGGTCAAACCTGCTTTGAAATGAGAACAAACATCTAACTAGTTTTTAGCTAATTGAGATAACTGCTCACAACTGTAGAGCACTTGTCTTTAATTTAATGGGTTAGTCTGGTCTCACTGGCCCTTGGGTATAGCTGCACTTCTATGACTCTGGCTTTTTGTAAAATGTTCCATTGGCACTAATGTCTAATGGAATATTTGCAATTTGTCTAATATTTGTAAAAGTGTCTATTTTTGCAAGGGTTGTAAGTTGGGATTAGGTATGAAATAAAGTGTTTTAAACAATGAGCAATGGTGTGTCCACAGTACTTAGGACACAGTGCTCTTCTTGTTTTGGGAGACGGGGTGCACCACCTGCCATGCCGATTCATCTTCCCAGGTGGGGAAGAGACCACATGTATGTAGTAATAACCCTATCAACAAATGTCAATCTTTTTGCCTTTCAAAATATATGCAGAGAGAAAAATACATATATCCAGAAAAATAAATATCAGATGTTTTATATAAACGAGCATACTTTTTTGTCCACATTAACTTGATCTAAAGGACTTGGGGGCTTCATCTAAGCACAATGCTGCCAAAATCTTGGTTGAGGGACTTATAAGGAAGACTCTATGAGTTGGTTGGCTCAGTTCAGGAACAGACAAGGCTGGACACATAGACCAGCCCGGGAGTAACTCTGTGTACACACACCAGCCTGGGAGCACCCACATGCACACAGACAAGTCCGGGAGCATCCCTGTGCACACAGACCAGGCCAGGAGCACCCATGTGTATAACAGACCAGCCCAGAGCACCTCTGTGCATGCAGACCAGCCCAGAGCACCCCTGTGTATGCAGCCACAGACCAGCCTGGAAACACCCCCGTGTACACAGCTGCAGATGTCCAGAAGCACCCATGTGCGCACAGCCACAGACCAGCCCAGGAGTACCCCTGTGCATGCAAACCAGCTTGGGAACACACTCGTGCAACAGCCGAAGATGCCCAGGAGCACCCACCTGGAAGTCAGCAGTCACGGAGCCCCCGCAGACGTCGATCAGTTCGGTCATGTCATAGTAGGCATCGAAGGTCCACACACAGCTCTTGAGGTTCAGGTGTCTGTAGAGCTGGATGGTCTTTGGCTCCCGTACGCTGAGGTCAAACTGAAAGGGGCGGTCATAACCAGGCCCCAGGGCGGTGCTGTCATAGCCTGTGTCACCCAGGAAGCCTGCCTCTGCTGGGGAGGAAGGAGTAGGGAGCGGTCACTTGGTCTGTGATGCCCAGAGGCTGGGTGGGAGGGGACTGCACCCTTGTGACACAAGAGGCTTTCAGTCCAGACCTGATTACTAGAGTGACTCAAGGCCCCCCATGCATATTAAGAATGTGAGAAGGGCTTGTCACTGCTTGTGAACTGCGATTGCCAGGTGTGAATGGAGGGTTCCACCACTAAGAGACCACAGGAACCAGAGAAGAAAAGATGAGTGAATAATGAGTGAATGAAGAAGGCAGAACTCAGGAAGGAAACACCCTGATGCTCTGGCTGTCACACTGCAAGTTGGGTCCAGTGTCACATGCTCTACTACCAGTCCTGAAGAAACAGGTTTCCTGTGCATCACACACTTTACTACCAGTCCCAAAGAAATGGGTCTACTATATGGGTCATTCATTGATGAGTCATTATTTTAAGACTGACTTAAAAAATAGCTTTTATAAAAACCCAGCAGATATATATCAGACCACCTCTTCTCCCTCTATTGGTTTCTGAACTCCTGGGGGAAATTTTTAAATTTTATGTTGATGAGTAAATACTCTCTAATGATGCTTGGCTAACCCTCACCTGCCACAGACAAAAATCACTGGCTCAAATGCTGCCAAGCAAGTAAATGGTTCTAAATTAAGAAAGACCTTTATGCAGAAGAGAGTTGAATACAGATACAATTTTAGAATATTAAGGTCAAAGTTTTTATAGTACTAAAAGCAACTGTAGTATTTTTAAAGAGTTAATGCATTTCTTAGAATGTTTGACCCTAGTGCCTGGCCCTCTGTCCCATGAGGACCAGCTACTCAGCTGACATGAATGTAATTGTTTTTAAGTAGGAAGAGGAGCAAAATTTCAGTCTTTAAATATAGTGTGCTTTTTCCACAAGCATCATTGTGGACCAATTAAACTTTCATGGGAAACAGTGATTTACAAATAATTTATGCTCAACGAATTCCTACTGTATTAAGACCATCACAACCAAAAGGAATGCTTAATGAATATGAAAGAGCATATGAATGTATTTCAGTTTTTAAAAACACTGTTAAATGATTCATCAGTTGTGAAGACAGGAAACACGCATTCCATGTGAACTTGCTAAGGTAAATGGAAATGGACAGGGTTCTTTGTAAAGTGAAACGTCGACTGTGATGAACAAGGAAATGCGCTGCCTCAGCTGTCACTCCTTGAATCTGCATCAGTCAAAGGGCGGCCCAGCACAAGGTCATGCCCTTGCTGGGGCAGCCTGCATTAGGTGACGCAGCAGGGCAGGCCAGCAAGGTCTAGCCATTTGGCTGAAACAGAATCCATCTCTCCATAGCCCCCTGGCACAGCCAGTGTGGCTTTGTCAGTCTGCATTGCAGTATGACTCTTCCTCTGCCCAATGCTGACCCCCGCTTTTCTTCAACAGGCATCAGTTCCTAATACACAGCTTATGCCCAAACTCCATCTCAGCTCCTGCTCTCAGATAACCCACCACATGACAACTCATACTTGCACTTCACCTTTCTAAAGATGCTGCTATGATGGGATCTTGGGGCACAGATCCAACACTCTCACTAGAACACACCACAGTAGGTGCTTTAAAGACATAAGTGCACTTAAACCTCGCCTTGGCTGGTTGCAATTGCTAGTCTCATGTTGTAGATGACAGTGACTTGGAGAGGTTTAGCTATGCTTGCTCAGTCCTACAGACCATGGGATGCAGATCTGAACTTAAGCCAGTCTGATTCCAAAGTCCTTGTTTTTCCTACTCACTTCATTGTCTGAGCTGCCTGTTGGCTGCATGCCAGGAAGGAAAACCACCAATAAGCAGATCCTGAAAACCACAAGATGAAAAGCAGAGTCCTCCTCACTCAGTCACATCATGAAAGTCCCAGCACTGAGCTGGCATGGAGAGGCCAGTCCGAAACCGTTCCTTACCTGAGATACCCCTCAGGTCATGGGTGGTGACTAAGTTGGAGCAGACGTGCTGGTGTCTGTAGATGGACTCGGACAACAGAAAATGCAAGTTGTGCAGTGGCATGGTGGAGATGAGGGGCAGCATCCCATCCTGGTGTGGGATCTGCACTGAAATGTGGATCCTAGGCATAAAAGGGCAGAAATAAGTGTTGAGTTGCATGTCAAAAAAAGTCAATGGCAATTCTTTCTCATCACCTAATTTGTCTTCACCAGTGAGCAGCCAATTATTTTCCTTGATGCTTCCCATGTAGGGTTTCTAGCTGAACTGAGGGGAGTGGATGGACATGTGCTGCCGTTTTTCTCCTCTAAGAGATCCTCCAAACTCAAGATGATAGTAATCAGGAATCATAGATTTTTTTTTTTCTACACAAGAAAAGATAACATCACAACCACAAATCACTCAAAGGTTTTCTTTTGCTTTCAATGGAATCTTTAAAATCCTCAAGAGTCAAAGCTGCTCCCCTGCTTTTTCACAGTGAATGGAAGTTGGATAGGGTTGACCCATAATTTTTTTAAGCATTTGCTTGAGTCAGAAGGATATCGTGGTGCTTTTAAACTCTGAGGCCAATTTCTCTTCCTAGCCAAATATCTTAGAAATTACACCATCCCGCTATTCATATCGTCTTTCGCTACTGAGAATACGCTTTGCTCTCCTTTCTCCCGCTAAGTACCATCAACACAACAGTTCTGGCCCTCCTTGCCTCAGTCTGCAGAGTGCTGCCCTGTGACCTCCATCCTCAGCACTTAGACAGTCCTTGTACCAAGGAGTGTGCAACTGATCCATGTTGGCTGCTTAGACAGCCATTGTACCAAGGAGTCTGCGACTGATTCATATTGGCTGCTACTTCTCATTTGTTTTCAGACTCTGTTTACCTTGCCTCCCCACTGTGAGTACAAGGAGCATCCTTCTGTTTCCCCAGAGCACACAGTGTACAATTTTAAGAAAAAAACAAGCTTAAGAAAGATCGGGTAAGACTGTGATACAACAGAACTGTACTTATGGGCTGTGTTGCTTTCATGGTATCTGTTTAAATTTTGTGCATGTTTATTGAAGGTGTGTTTTGAATTTCTAAGGTTCATGTCTCTGAGCAAAGAGTAACATTTTTAAGAGGAACCAGAGATTTGCATATGAAGAGGACGGTCCTTTTTCTAGGAAGGGATCTGTAGTGCCTCGGGCACTTCTATTACTACTCTTTAACAAAAGTAAATTTTATTCTGCTGGTAAAAAAAGAAGAATTTGCATATTCTTGGGCCTACATTCAAACCTGTTTTATTCATGCCAAGAAACCCATTTCTCTGAATTCACTTGTTCATAAAAAGACACACTTCAATACTATAATGTTTATTAACTATATATAGCATACACAAATTCTTTTTTGGTATGCAAAAATGAAAGTATCCATCTCATTCTCCCCAAATCATATTACGAAGCTAACATTACACTGATATCCAAACTGAGTAAAGATCCAACAAAAAAAGAGAACTATAGGCCAATATACCTTATGAACACAGATGCAAAAATCTTCAACAAGATTCTTGCAAATCGGATCCAAAAACACATCTCAAAAATCATTCACCATGACCAAGTAGGCTTTATCCCCAGGATGCAAGGCTGGTTCAACATTCACAAGACCATAAATGTAATTGAATACATCAACAGATGTAAAAACAAGAACCACATGATTATATCATAGGATGCAGAAAAAGTTTTTGATAAAATCCAGCATCACTTCTTGATAAAAACCCTCAAACACCTAGGTATAGAAGGAACATACCTCATTCAAAATCATAAGTGCTATCTACGATAAACCCACAGCTAACATGTTGCTAAATGAACAGAAACTGGAAACATTTCCCCTGAAAACTGGAACAAGATAAGGTGCCCACTCTCACCCCTCTTGTTCAACACTGTGTTGGGAGTCCTAGTTAGGGCAATTAGACAGTAGAAGGAAATCAGGGGTATCCAAATAGGAAAAGAGGAAGTCAAGTTATCCCTCTTTGCTGATGATATGATCCTATACCTTGAAAATACAAAAGAATCTGTCAAAAACCTGCTTGCACTGATAAAGGACTTTGGCAAAGTCTCAGGGTACAAAATAAACATGCAAAAGACAGTTGCATTCCTATACCTCAACAGCAAGCAGGTAGAGACCCAAATTAAAAGCACAATCCCATTCACTATAGCCAGAAAAAAATGAAATACCTTGGTATCTTCCTAACCAGAGAAGTGAAATACCTTTACAATGAGAATTACAAAACACTGCTCAAAGAAATCCAAGAAGACACAAACAAATGGAAAAATATTTTATGCTCATGGATAGGAAGAATCAACATTGTTAAAATGTCCATCCTACCAAAGGCAATCTACAGATTCAACAAAATACCCATTAGGTTATCAACATCATTCTTCTCAGACCTGAAAATGACAACACATGAATTCATATAGAAACGTAAACGACCACGAGTAGCCAAAACAATCCTTAGTAAAAGAAACAAAGCAGGAGGTATCACACTTCCAGACTTCAAACTTTACAATAAGGCTACAGTAATCAAAACAGCCTGGTATTGATACAAGAACAGGCACATAGACAAATGGAACAGGATGAAGATTCTGGAAGCAAAGCCTCAATCTCTTAACCAACTCATCTTTAATAAAGACTCCAACAACAACTACTGGGGAGAGGAGAACCTATTCAGTAAATGGTGCTGGCAAAACTGGCTGATCACATGCAGAAGATTGAAACAGTACCCCTACCTATCACCACACACAAAAATTTACTCTAAGTAGATCAAAGACCTAAATGGAAAACCTCAAACTATAAGAATCTTAGAAAATGTAGGAGACACCCTTATGGAAATTGGAACTGGTAATCAATTTCTGATCAGAACCCTAAGTGTCCATACCATAAGAAATAAGATAGACAAGTGGGACCTCATCAAACTGATGAACTTCTTCAAAGCAAAAGAAACCATCAAGGGAGCAGGGAGACAGCCCACAGAACTGGAAAAAATATTTGCTAACTGTATATCTGACAAAGGTCTAACATCTAGGATCTACAAGAAACTCAAACATGCCAAAAGGAAAAAACCAAACAGTCCCATTAAAAGTGGGCAAGAGACATGAATAGACACTTCTCAAAAGAAGATATACGGGCAGCCACTAGACACATGAAAAAGTGCTTAGCCTCACTCATCTTTAGAAAAATGCAAATCAAAACCACATTGAGATACCACTAACCCCAGTAAGAATGGCCATCATTAATAAAACAAACAACAGATGCTGGCAAGGAAGTGGAGACAAAGGAACGCTTCTACACTGCTGGTGGGAATGCAAACTAGCGCAACCTCTTTGGAAGACAGTGTGGTGATTTCTGAAAGAACTAGAAATTGACCTTCCATATGATCCAGCAATTTCCGTACTGGGAATATACCTAGAGGAACTCAAATCATTCTACAAAAAAGATACCTGCACATGTCTGTTTGTTGCAGCTCTAGTCACAGTAGCAAAAACATGGAATCAACCATGCTGCACATCAAAGCTGGACTGGATAAAAAAAAAATGTGGTACATATACACAATGGAATATTATGTAGCCATAAAGAAGGACAAACATTTGGACTTAGCAGCAACTTGGATGGATTTAGAGTCGATCATACTCAGTGATCTATCACAGAAACAAAGAACAGAGTACCATATTTCTCACTCTTAAGCGGACCTTGAACAACTATCATAATACTATAAGAAAGGGATTGGCAGTAGCGGGAAACTGCCAGGTGACGGGGGATGGGATTAGAAGTTGAATGGAACTCCTAGGGGAGGGAAGGGCACACCTCATCAACAAGGGTACCTGCATAATCAACGTTTGTATACCTAACCCTGAATTGTAACCCACATCTTTTAAAAAAAGAAAGAAAATATCCATCTCCCATCCAAATCATGGTGGCATAGGGAAAAGTAAGTCCGATGACTCATAGCTCATGCAACGTTATCACTCATTTGTTCAACAGATATTTAGCAAGTGCCTCCAGGTGCCAAAAAGCACTGTACTAGGCAGAGGACATGCAACATAAATAACCAGGTCTCTGCCCTTCGGGTATGGCTGTCTCCTACAGGATGGAGAGAATGAGTGATGATGTGCTCTGAAATAAGCATGGATAGTGCTTGCAGGAAGACTCTCCAAGTTAAACTGGGAGACATGACAGAAATGTTCCCAGAAGAGATGCCATGAGCACAATGGGAATTACCTACAGCAAGTGAGAGGTGTGGAGGAGCATTAGAGGAATGACAGGGGACAGCTATGCAACTTAAAAGTCTGTAGCCCTTGGGTGGCTACTTGTGACTGACTGGGGCAGACTGGCAGGTGAGAATGAGAAGGTGAGGAAGAGGGGGCTAGGAAGACAGGCAAGGGGCCAGAACTTGAGGGACTGCTGACTGCTGAGGATTTACACTTTTTTTGAAGCTTTCATCACCACATTTTTACCTTGCAAAAGCATCATTCATCGATCAGTCCCTGGAAAACACACAAAAGATACCCAAGATTCACTCTACCCATGCATGGTGGGAGGTGCCAACTGCCTGACTGACCTGTTTGGATGCTCCTTGTGTTTGACGTCCAGGTATTTCAAGGTTGCGATGAAAGACTGAGCCTGGAAGCCTCTGGATGTCCCAGCCACCACAGGAGTGTGGCAGATAGCACTGTCTGTTCCAATGGTAACAATGTTGCTCCGTAAGGGCGTCCCCACATGGCCCACTTTGTCCACAGCTTTTGCCACACAACGCACATGGAACCTCCGGCTGAAGTAAATGCTATCCAGGACCTATCGGGAAGAATAAATTATCGCAGATATGAGTATACTACTTAAATAGCTCCTTATACTGTCTGGTGTGAGGGTAGCTGTGAAGGCCACCCATCCATCCATCCATCCATCCATCCATCAACTCATCACATAATTATTGACTTTCAAACATGAACCAGGCACTAGGACAGAGCTGTGAGTACGTATAACCTAAGGGAGCAAGACAGACAATGAAGTAGACAGATGCGGAGCAAGAGTCCACAGATGACTGATTACGATGGATGGCATTGCTCCCTTTATATATTAAACTCAGCATAAGGAGTACCCAACTATTTTTCAGACGTTCCAGCAAGACTAGTTGTCTTCCAAGTCACTGTTGTTGAGAGTAGAATGTCAGGAGACAGTGGAGGGATGCTTCCTTCTCAAGAGTTCTCATTTCTCTCTATCCTACTGCTCTCTTCCCTTCATCCCATCCCCCCACCCAGTGACCACACATACTGCAAGAGTTATAATAACACACAGACTTGAAATTGAGATCTCAACCTCTGACACCTCCCAGACTTGAAGGCCTTTCTATAGATGTCTTTAAGTTCCCAGACATACAAAAGCCATAAGAGTGCTTAACTCAATCTATGCAGAGTCAATGTAGGTCACCAGGACTCTTTAGATCATTGTATATATACACAGGGAAGTACATAACAAGAAAATTAATTAGTAGTTCTGTGTGCCACAGACCACCCACAAAACAATCTCACAAACTTATAAATTCTACCCATGAAAACAATTTCCATTGAAGTCCATTAAAAATTAAAGACTTTTTTCCCATTAAACTTTTTAAAATTAGCTGCCAATGCTTTATTTATTTATATATACACGGACTTACTCCAGAAGGGATTTGAGGCATCTTAAAAGAAGGCATATAATACAATAGTATTAAATAAATAATTGAAGAAATAAAGACAAAGCAAAGGAAACTAGGGTAAAAGGTATTATTCTTCAGTTCATCAATAGAAAGAAAACTGAAGCATAAAGTCATACATTTGTTATCTGTTAAAAATGTATATTTGGCTCAAATCAGACCAAACCCTGATTATGACTTTGGTGAACAGAAAAATAGATGCTTATGAAACAACAAGCTGCCAAATCTTGCCATTCTGAGTTTTTAACAATAGAGATGTTTTAACTATGAGCTTGGTTATGTTGCAAAAGAAAGGGTCTCCTAGTGTTTTTGAATAAGCTGCGTCCAAAACCATGGATATGAGACCTGCTTTGCCTGAAGCCTCCCACCTTGGTCTAATGGCTTTCCTCTGTTGTTGTTCCATCCCAGTGAGACTTTTGTTACAGTGGGAGCAAACTGTGGGAAGAACAAGAAAATCTAGAGCAATTCATCCAAAAGAAAGCTCTGATTTCCAAGACTATTCAGTGAACTAATTTCAGTCAAAGATCATTGAATGCTTACTACACATCCAGCACTGTGCTGAGCCTGAATTGCAGCTGCTTTTGGTTCTCTTTCGGAAGAGAGCAAACTTCATTCGTGTGATGCGCAGAACCCCTGCAGGCTGTCTCCGAACCCTGGGAAAGCTTCTAGTTCTCCTATGGCTCACTGCTCTGCTGGGGAGGGGACTGGTCTTCAAGCACTCTGAGGATGGCAACTGCCTGGGACTTCTTTTCATGGCCTCCCACAGAGCATAGTAAAATGCTGAGCACTGAATAACTGTTTTATTCTTTAAAAAAAAAAAAAAATCAGACCTTGCTATGTGTCATCAATGTGCTGGACATTTTGGGCCACATTTCTACCACATTATACAAATGTAGCACAGACCCAGGTCCAAGTCCTTAAGGAGAGGATATCCTAATACTTATTGGATGATTGAAGATATATGAATAAAATAGCAATCAATGGTACCTACCTGGAATCTTTGATTTACTTTCTCATTTATAGATCACATTTGTCCATTGACCTTATCAAATGATGAAGCAGAAGAAATAGTATTTTGCAGATCAGGAGACTGAGACTAGAGAGGTTAAGCAACCTATTAATACCACTTAGTTGAAAAAAGGCAGAGTCAGGATCTGTAAACAGGTCTGACTACTAGTTTTGTTTTCTTTCTATGACACCACATTACCTTTTTTTTAATATATGAAAAGAAAAACACTGTGTATGTACTGTGTGCACTCACTCATTTGTTTTATTCCAAACACCATGCACGAACCTCAAGGAGTTTGATCATCTGAGTAACAGAGAGCAACACCAGTTTGCTGCCCTGCCACCCAGGCCCAGGCCCCCAGACCTACCATGTGGTTGACGCTGGTGAATGGTGTGTTGTCAGTGATGGTTTCAAAGGGAGAGCGGGCACCACTGCCATCGGTGGGGGCAGCCACCTCCCAGCTGAACTGCACGGATGTCTGGTTGATGCCGGCCTCGCTACAGCGCTCCTTCATGACGGCATACCTGGGGAAACGGGGGTCACAGGGAGTGACACACACTAGCGGGTAGCCTGGGGAGGGGGCCTTCTTCACACCTTCCTTGGTGACTTCTTCTACATGGTCATAGTCAGCAAGCGTGACCACCTGCAAAGAGCAACAAAACTTTAGCCCAGGTTGGGTATCAGGAAGGTCAGAGAACTAAGGCTCCCTTCCCCACAATGTCTCTTCACATCCAGGGAATCTGTAAAATACAGCAAGATAAGTTCTTTAATTCTTTGCCAGGCACTCCTAAAAGATACTGTGGCTCTATCATGGTGCAGGAGATCCTACTGCCTGGGCTAAAGCTTTATGACCCTCTTAGTCTCATTCTTAAATCAGAGCCCTATCACTCACGTGAAAAACATTTTAATTTTCCTGCACACTAGAACCAAAGCTGTATCACCAATGGCAGGTGCTACTTTAAAGTTACATTAAATTGTCAATGGTATACAGTAGTACATTTGGCAAAATAAGAGTAACTAGACTTAGTGTGTTTCTTCCAGGGTCAAGGAAGAGCCGCATTTTGAAATAATCCTTCTCTTCCAGAAGATAAGAGTATAGTTTATGAGGTTAGAAGGCCTGTTCTGACTGCTTCCCTGATCTGGGCTAAACATTCCTTGGCACCCTCCAGGCATTTTCCTCTCAACTATAAAGGCAGTGCATTTGTTCTGTTCATCCTGTGTGGGGAAACCTAGTACTACATTTCTGCAGATACTTGATTCTATGTGTGTGGTGAGTGTGTGAGATAACTGAGATGAGGTAGTATGACCTTCTTACTCTTCCGGTGCCACCCAAGAAGTAAAGTCAATTTTATTACACTTTTTGTCTTGACCAGGCTGAGATAATCAACTCGATTGGTCTTACGCTGATATTTGTGCCATATAATTTTTTTCTGTTGTTGTTGGGGGCTGCCCTGTGCATGTAGGATGTTTAGCAGCATCCTGGCTCCCACCCACTGGACGATAGTATCACTCAGAGTGATGGCTGTGACAACCAAACATGCATCAGACATTGACCACAGTCCTCAGAAGAGGGCAGTGGGGGTGAGATCGCTACTGGTTGAGAACCACTATGTGAGAAGGATAAGGCAGAGCTGCAAGTCCTACTACTCGCACACTCTCATCTATCCTTCACTGGGACATAAAAGTGGTAACTCACAATGGGTGGCGCTGGCAAGATGAGGCTCCCTGCCGCCTCTTGGTCTAGAATTGTCACTGTGGCTGTAGTTACATCCCCGAGAACTGCTTCCACCGGGTCATCGGGGCCAAGGACCAGAGAGAAAGATTCATGCCATTCCCGGTCTTCATTGGACAGGATCTCGACTTTAAAGAAGATGTGATCCACACCTGCATGAAGGACAGGACAGAGAGAGAACAAAGACCTTGTCAGACAATGCACCTGAGAGCACAAGCTGGCACTGTCTGGAGTCACGTGGAGCTGTGCCCCTGCTAGTCAGAGGGTCTACAGATGCTGTGGCTGTTCATCACCTCACCCAATCTCAGGTAAGGAACCTGCTCCACAGGCCAAGTTTCACCTGTGTAGGTTTACTATTCAACACCAGATGAGAATTAATAGCCACAGCCTGACACTGGCTGGCAGTAATAAAAATCTATGATCCAATATACACTTCACCCTGGTTACGAGTTTTTTGCTTAATTTCTCTTTCCCCCTTGCACTTATGCATGTGCTCCCGTTTGGCTATAAGTGGTTACACACACAGATATCCTTCAAAGTTTAGAGGTCACTTGCCAGACAGGCTTCTGCAAAGATGATAATGTGGAGGTTTAGTGGCCTGGACAGAGTGAGGGTTTGAATCTTGCAGATTCCTCTTCTTTTCTGGTAAAATGAGTCTCTAAAAGTGCAAATACTCCTGGTGGAATCGGGTCTCCTTTTTCCTCTCCTACAGACATCTGGGCTAGGTGACTTCTAGACCTATCTTTCCTCAGATCCTTTTGCAGAAAAAAGGAAGGCAGGTTTGTGTGCAGCTTTGGAAGAAGGGCATCTACCTTTGCAGACACACATGGGATAAGCCGAAAGTCCTCTAAAGGCCCACCAAGATGAAAGAGATGCACAGAGACCTCTCTCCCTCCAACCCTCGTACCTTCTGAGGGAGTCATTATCTCCCTCCACTTGCCAAGACAGCTCTGAAAAGTCCTTCTCACACCTTTGCCCATCCCTGGCTACTTCACAAGTGGTGCTGGGATCCAGTCCACTCTTTCACTTTACACTGCTCTGGGAAGTCATGAAACAACCTAGCCTACAATGCAACATTTTCCCTGTCTTATTTACCCCATCGAATTAATGCATCAGCTTGATGGGACCGGAATCTCACCTCTCTCTTTCTCCAACTCATCTCTGTATCTCTTTCTTGGATAAACCTTTTTTTGGAAAGCCCATAATGGGGTATCCCATTTCCTAGTAGGTGTTAAATATCTTGAACACAGGAACTGTGCCTTCCAGAATTTAGTAATCTCTGAAGGACCCATCACTGTGCTTTGTAACAGTGTTTGTTGAATGATGACAGTCGTGTGTGTGTTGTGTGTGTGTGTGTGTGTGTGTGTGTGTGTGTGTGTGTGTGTGTGTGTGTTAATCAAATGCTCCTATCACTCAATCAGATCTTAGGCTAACACAAAATCCTTTGAATTGAAACAAAAAAATTATGAACTTTGCAGCAACTTGGATGAATTTAGAGTCTATAATACTGAGTGATCTATCACAGAAACAAAAAACTGAGTACCACATGGTCTCACTCATAGGCGGACCTTGAACAATTATCATAATACTATAAGAAAGGGATTGGCAGTAGTTGAAAACTGCCAGGGGGTATGGAGGTGGGGATGGGATTGACAGTAGTGGGAAACTGCCAGGGGAGTGGGGGACACCTCATCAACAAGGGTACCTGCATAATGAACATTTGTATATGTAACCCTGAATTGTACCCTACATCTTCAAAATTAACAACTAAAAATTAAAAACTAAAAAAAAAAAAGAAATGAAACAAAACACCCAGCATGTTCTGAAGTCAGGGACCTGTGTTATTTTTCCTTGCCATTTTTATTAATTAAAAGTTTTACCTGCAATCTCAAATGTGTGCTTACACTTGATACTGTTGGAACTACTGCATTCCTCTTTTTGTTTCCCTGCTCAGTCCATTCTCTAAATACAGGATAAGTGTCTCTTTATTAAGTAAACCCGCAGATGGCAGTTGGCATTCAATTACCAGGACTAAACTTCAAGACACGGCTCTTGGGGTAATAATCCACACCAGACTGGGCAGACCCATCCCGCGTGCTGCAGCGGATCTTGGAAGTCCTGTTCTGGTCCCCTCTGCGGATCACCTTGATGTTCAGAACTGCAACGGCATCCGACCCTGCGGGTTCCCGGACTTGGTATGCAGCTTCTTCAAACTCAATGGTGGGGGCTAAGGAAACATGGGTAGGAAAACCAGAGCAAGTCAGAATAGCACAGAGGATCCAGACTCCCAGGAACACGCCTTATAATGACAAGAGGAAACTGTTCACACTAGTTAACAGTACAAAGGCAGCATGGCTCGCAGTCCTACAACTCTCCCAGTATTTACTGCTAAGCAATGCTTGGGAAAAAGAAATGCATTTGTGATCCTGTAGGTGTTACTTCTCACATGTTCCTTATTAAATGCAATATAATGGGGGAGATATTTTAGTGACTTTGAAATGCACGATATTCCCATCGTGGCACTATAGTTCACAGACTGTTTTTAAATTTGCACAATTTATCAAGAACGGAGGCATAGTAGGCCCTTGATAAATATCTGTTGAATGAATCAGCTTTTTACCTACCAGCTATGAATTTCTGAAGTTTATAATTTCTCATTTTTATACTACTTAGATTTGCCAGGTCCTCACTTATCACTAGTTTGTTGGATATCCCCTCCCAGTGCTCTTACCCATCTCAGCTTTTCCTCACCTCTCACAGGTAAGTATGGGTGCTCTCAGTGACTGACAGGAAAACTCAAGGGACACAGTCTGGTTTGAGGTCCTATTCTTATGGTGAGGAAATGATTAATAATAATATATTGATTTTTACGAAAATATTCAAATCATGACTTCTTTTCTATTATATCTCATGGGGAAGGTATAATGGTGATGGTAGAGAGAGTGAGATAAAAAGATTTAAAAATTGAGAGCAATTATACATTTTATGCCATTTCTAGTATATTATAGAATACTGCAGAAATTTCTAAACTCTATGTTTCATTCTCTTTTTCTCTCAGAAAGTCAAATCTCTCTAATTGTAGATCAGTCTCATTTGAGAGTTTTCAGTAAGAATGCTCTTTGACAGCATGGAGGTTTGCTTTAACACAGTGTAAGCCTGAGCCTTAATCATGTGTTTTCTGCATGCCTAGGAGAGGTTCACTTTGGGATGTGAATCTGAGTCTCCTCAGTTAAAAGACTAATTCAGCTTCAAGACTGTCTTCTCTTATTTTACCCAATGTCCAAGTTAGTTCCTGATTTCTCATTTACCTTAAAAAAACCTCTAGCAGTGCTTAAAAGTATAGATTCTAGGGTCAGATACAATAAGGTTCACATCCAGTTTTGCTTTGTATACCTGTGTAACTAAGAATGCAAGTGGTATAACTTTGCTGAGGTACAGTTTCTTCAGGGGAAGAATAACACCAACCTCAAAGGATTATAATATAGGGATAATAACACCAATCTCAAAGGATTACTTCCAAGATTAAATAAAATAATATAAATAAAATAGGTATATTCTACATATTTAATAAGAATCAACTATTATTATTTATAATATTATTATCCATTCACTTGCTGAAATTTCTATTTTAGTAAAACAATGATGTCCCAATTTGAAAGATTGTGTCTTCCCTGGTGCCTGGGTCACTCTTGGCTAACAACTGACTAGAGAGCTTAAGGTTCTTTAGGTTAGTAGGCCAAATCAATTAGAGAAGAACACTGAGAAATTACACTTTTCCAGGAAGGTGGCAGTGTTTTAAATCAGTTCATTGGATTCAACTGATTCCAACTGTATTTCCAATATTGCTCCTGAGCTGCAGCGACTTAAATTTTCTTTATTCTCTGTCTTAGCACTTCTGTCCTAGCTTTTAACTGCACTCATTCCATATTTCTTGGCAATGTGATAGGGAATAATGAGTGTAAAAATACCCATGAACTTGTTGGAGATCTGTAGAGGGTCGTTGCTTGCTGCCAACATTTTATCTAAATATTCAGAGATTGTTATCGGCAGGCACTCTTACTGCACTTTCATTTTTCAAACCACTAATCATTACATTAGTAAAATATCAGTTTACATCCCATCAACCTAAGAGTAGTAAAGGCAGTTTCTTCTGTTACCATCTTCGTCATTGGATATGGTGATGGTGGCCATGTTGTTCCTTCCAATTCTAGCTCCACTCCAGTGGTTTCCCAGAGGATGGCCAAGGTAGACTCTGAACTGTTCCTCTGGCTCAAACATGGAGTCATCATGGATATAGACAGTACAGTTCTTCACCTAGAACCAATGGAACAAGACAGATTAAAATGTGCAGCAAGACATCAGTAACTTGCTTGGTTTTCCTAGAAAAATGATTTTTCTTCTTTGCAGCATCAAAGAGTCAACACGAATTCAAAAGGACACAAACAGTTTTATTCAAAAAATATAAGGTATAAATGCAACAGTCCATTCCTGAGTGGGAACCACCTATGTGTAGAGATTTGTATTAGAATATTACAGACCATTTTGAATGGTGATGAATTATAAAAAACAAGATCAGGCTGGGCACAGTGGCTCATGCCTGAAATCCCAGCACTTTGGGAGGCTAAGGCATACTGATTGCTTGAACCCAGGAGTTCAACACCAGCCTGGGCAACATAGTGAGACTTCATCTTTACAAAACCATTAAAAAAATATCCAGGTATAGTGGCGTGCGCCTGTAGTCCCAGCTACTTGGGAGACTGAAGTGGAAGGATCACCCAAGTCCAGAAAGTCGAGGCTGCCTGCATGCAGGCCTTTGCTTAGGTTGCAATCATGCCACTGCACTCCAGCCTGGGAACAGAGTGAGAGCTTAACTTAAAAAAACAAAAAAACCCCAAGATCAATAAAACAAATAACCCACTAAAAATCACCTGTAGACCATATATGTTCTTTCCCACATTTTTCTGGGCTGTTGAACAAATCTGCACATGTAACAATTGGCATATGTTTAGTGGTTGGGATTTAACATATTAATTAAGCTTCTTGGAGAGCTGAAGAATATTCCTTTTACTTTGTAAAAATGGAATCATCTTATAAAAAACTAAGAAAGGTTGGTGTTAGGCTAAAGATAGATTGAATGCTAAAGAGCTCTCAAATCTGTAGCCAGATGGTATCTCATCTGAAAACTGCTGAGTATGGAACGTCTGAGATCACAATCCAAACCCCTATTTGATGGAAAGAAATCGAGTGCTTCTCAAATAGAGTATCTTCTACTGAGGATTGTATTTATGAGAAAATATAAAATAAGGTAACAACACTTTAGACAACATAGTGACCTCAATAGTAGAGTCATATGACATGAAGTAGGACATTTTCAGTTGGACCATTTTAAATCCCACTGTGCTACTATAGTACAAAGCGAGAGTGAGTAGGAAGAGGTTTCACTCTCCCACCCCCTAAGTCACACTGAGTGGTAGGAGAGTATCTCTGTGAACACTCATGTGTAACTTGCTAACCAGGTCTTAATCCCTAAAGAATGTCGAGAGTGTGTGTGTGTGTGTGTGTGTGTGTGTGTGTGTGTGCGCGCGTGTGTGTATGTGTGTGTGTTCCCTACCACATCTTTCTTGTAATAATAATTCCTTATAGAAAGCATGAGTTTAGGAATGACTCTTCAGATGTTAAGAAATAAAGACCTTTTAGGGATAACATGCTCCTAAGACATCTGCTTAGCAAGCCACACACACAAAGAAGATCCCAAAGTATGCTTAGGTACAATGAAAGACTATCATATAGACTAGTAGGCTATGTTTTCTTAATAATTTTATCAAATTAAAAACTATCTCTTGGATAGGCAGATAATCCTCTTTTGAACTTAAAACAAATACAGACGTGTAGACTCAAAGCTGGAGATTGTATCTGTAGTATTTTGCAGGGTTTAAAAAACACGTTTCAACCTGCCACCAGTAAAATTTCCCTAAAATATATAAGACAGGCCTTTATGAGTCATAAATGTGTAAATGACATGAGAGCCCCAAAGAAAGAAACTATCCCTTTTTTTTTTGGTAGTAAAGATGAACAGAGGAATAATCTGGGGTGATCTGCAATGGGTAAGCTCTTCTTATGCTAAACTTCAAAAGGACTAATCATAAGACAAACGTTAATTACATTTGATTATCTAAAAATTGGAAACTTCTGTTCAATTAAGAACACCACAGTTAACAACACCACAGTTAAAGGTAATAGATAAGTGACAGAAGAAAAAAAGATGTTTATAATACCTAAACTGTCTAAAACTGGTAAGGAATTAATATTTAGGATATACAAGAAAGTACTGCAAATCAGTGAGAAAAGGACAATATAACTAAATACAGAACAAAGACTAAAAAAATAAACTTATAAGCATATTTGAAATCTACTAATAGGCATATAAAACAGTAGTAATCAGAGAAATACACATTAAAATGAGATGCAACGTTATAGGCATCCTTTGAATATATAGCAAATATTCAAAAGATGAGCAGTGCTGACATTGGAGAGGATATAGGGTTATATCACCCCCCCACACACACACTTCCAGTGACATCTGGAAAGTATTCTGAGACCATATTTAGAACAAGCACAGGCATGTCCTACAGTCCCGCAATTTTGCTTGTGAGTATAAACCAAGGAAATTCTCACTCAGGTGAGGATGGACGTGTGTATGAGAGTGTGTACTACAGCATGGTGTGTATGGCGACAGAGAGTTGGGAGGCTCCTGGGTATAATCAGTGAAGTTCCTCAGTGTCTCCCAAGCATGGGTAAGATACAGTGGACACATGTTTCATAGTTGGAGATTTGACCCTCCAAATCGCATGCTGAAATTTGATCCTACTGTTCGAGGTGGAGCCTGGTAAAAGGCATTTGGGACATGGGGGCAGATCATGAATGGCTTGATGCCATCCTCACAGGACTGAGTGAGTTCTCACTCTTAGTCTTACGAGATCTGGTTGTGAAGAAGAGTCTGACACTTCCCCCTATCTCTTTCCTCCTCTCTTGCCATGTGACGCCTGCTCCTCTTACCCTTCTTCCATGAACTGAAGCTTCCTGAAGCCCTCACCAGAAGCAGATGCTGGTGCCATGCTTCTTGTATAGCCTGCAGAACCATGAACCAAAGAAACCTCTCTTCCTAATAAACTACCCAGCCTCAGGTATTTCCTATAGCAATGCAAACGAATGAAGACACACATGCCATGAAATACCATGCCACAGTTAGACACAACAGACTAGATATACACATAAGCAACGTGCCCAGATCTTAAGGCACATTGCTGACTAAAAACTGTAAAAGACTGAAAAAGATATAACACAATAGAACTAATAAATTTAAAATCATGTGCACAAAATAACACGCATTTCTTAAGAACAAATGCAAGTGAAGAGATATACGCTATACACAAAAAGCTAATAAGTAAGGAAGTAAATGTAGCTGAAGAATAGGGATCCATTAAAACAAATAAATAGGCAAAACCAATCTTGTACTGGACAATGAGAATGTGTGCCATGGCCCAAGGGGTACCACAGACTCAGTGAGTACTAACCTGAAAGTGGAATTCAAACATGGGGCAATGTGATTCTGATTCAATGAGCATTTTGGCATACACTGAGGCTGCAGGCTTTGATTCTGGTACAACTCTACTTAGTAGTGAACTTCTTTGCCTTTTCTTTTCTTGTCTTTTCACGTACATTGCCAAGAGAATATTCCGCTAATTTTACTCTGTTCAGCATCTGCCTTTTTGGTCCTATACTGGGGTGAATGTTACCCTGGGACAGGGTCTGAGCATTAGAGAACAGTCTCCTCCTCTCTAATGATAACGGTAAAGAGTGTTTATGTCTGGCATAGCTTCAGATTAAGAGAAGACCTTGCTCATTTGATTCTGCTAAGTCCAAACATGTCCCATATCATCTAAACTTCCAAGTTAAACCGATGAGACACATATAAGTAGGAGACAAAGAAGGAATAGATGACATTATTATAAATATTGTCAACGAACTGTGTGGGTCCACTTGGATGTAGATTTTCTCCCCTCTCCACTTCCCAAGGCAGCAAGGCCAACCCCTTCTCCTCCTTCTCCTCCTCAGTCTCTTCACCACAGAAATGAAGGATGAAGACTGTTACAATGACCCACCTCCACTTAATGAATAGGAAATATATTTTCTCTTTCTTATGATTTTCTTAACATTTTATTTTCTCTAGCTTATATTATTCTAAGAATACTAATGCACATGACATACAAAATATATATTCATCAACTATTTATGTTATCAGTAAAGCTTCTGGTCAACAGTGAGCTATTAATAGTTATGTTTTAGGAGCACCAAAAGTTATACACACATCTTCTAGTGCGCAGGGGGTAGGTGGCCCTAACCCCTGCATGTTTCAAGAGTCAACTGTAGTAAGGAAATTCTAAGAATGCTGAGCATTTGTCTAAATTACCTCACAATGAACAAACACAGGCAACATGAAAGATGAGACTCCTATCTTCCAGTCACCACAATCTACTTACTTTTTCTCCTTTCAGAAATGTAATCCGGGAGGAGTCTGCATTCCACCTCTCCTCAAAGTCCTTGGCAGCCTGAGCTGAATAGCTCTGCGTGTAGCACCTCACTGATGATTCATAGCTCAGGTCTCCGCTTCGGGTGATGGGCACCTGGAGTATGCCCTCCTTCTCCTTCACCAGGAGCAAGTCCTTGGCAAACTGCATGCTGGGCACTGGGTAGGCAGAGGGAAACAGAGGCACCATCAGCGGGAGACAGAGCGGCAGTGGCTGCAGACCCACTAGCCCTCAGCAGCCACTTGGCAGGTGGCTCACACTGTGATCTCAGCACCAAAGGCCAGCAAGGTTGACCAGTTATAGGTGGAGAGTGGGCAGTGAGCTGCTTGCACTGTTCGTGTGGCTCCAATGAAATGATCAGTTTTGCAGCTGTCTTTGTTCAGCTTTAAGATGTGGTGGTCATTCTCTCAAATACAGGCAGGTAATGTAAAAAAAAGGTGTGAGAAAAATTTTGATAGTGACTTGGGCACTCCAAAGAGTTACTTTTCCTACTAAGGCGGCAATAAGGAAAACAGCAGTGCTAGTCTGATGATAAACAGCCACTCATGTGGGTTCTGGGGCCAGGGAGACAATAGGGAAGGGTGGGGACATAGGAAAAGAAGAAAGAGCAAGCTTCAAGTTGCCAGATCTTCTTATTTTCAAGGAAAGTCAGAGACTCAGATTTTTATGCTCCTGAATTTAAAAGTAGCAATGAAGATAGTAAAAATAAAGTCCATATAAGTCCAAACAAAACACACCCAACAGGCTAATTCTGACCAGTGGACTCTAGTCTGTGACCACTGCCCTAGAATTTCCTCTTCTTTTATGACCCAAGTTCCTGTTTGGCTGTAGCATGGCACCTTAGCCAACTCATGGTTAAAAACAAGGGCTGTGGAGTGAACAAGCCTGAATTTCCATCCCAGCTACCACTTATTAGCTGTGTGACACAGGGCATACTACTTACATTTTATGAGCCTTGGGTTTTTTTCATATATAATTAGAAATATTAATATGCAATATAGAATTTTTGGTAGGATGAAATTTTTTTCTTTTTTTTTTTTTGAGTTGGAGTCGCACTCTGTCACCCAGACTGGAGCGCAGTCGCACGCTTCTGGCCACCGCAGCCTCGACCTGCTGGGCAATCCTTCCACCTCAGCCTTCCAAGTAGCTGAAACTACAGGGACGCGCTACCATGTCCGGCTAATTTTTTTATTTATCGTAGAGTTGAGGTCTCGCCAAGTTGCCCTGGTGGGTCTCGAACCCGTGGGCTCAGGCAATTCACTCACCTCTGCCTCCCAAAGCCCGGGATTACAGGCTGAGCCACCGAACCTGGCCAGGATGGAATTTAATGAGACAATCAATGAGTAGTACCCAATATAGGACCTGACTCACAGCAGGCACTTATATTTTGGTAAGAATTAATATATTACAGTTTGTATTTGCCTCCTGATTCTAGGATTCTCGATATGAAGGATAATTTTTTTCTCTTACTTTGCATTAAGATATTTCCCCTTCCAAGACCAATATCTGGTTATTAATTTCTTCATGGATAATGCAAGGAGGCATGATGTCAAAGCCCCCTGAGGTGAAATTAGCCTGTGGGCCTATAGAAAGCTGGCCCTAAAGGTGTAAGTCTCTATTTCCTGGCCACCTCCCATATGTATCCCATGAAACCTGGAAGGAAGAGACAGGACGGAGTGGGCTAAGCACCCAGGCATCTGCAGGTCAATGTGGAGAAAGCTGTGTGCCTCCAACTTACCCGCTCGAAACTGCTGGCTCTGACAAAAATAAAACCATCCCATCATCTGACCTAAGCCTCATAGTTCCTAATTGTTACTAAGTAACACCACACCTACAGGAAAGTTAACACCTTTATCATGAGACCAGACACACATAACAGTGAGGGCTCTGCCTTCCAGGGTGATGGTCTGTGCTCTCGTAAGGTGAGTGGCAATGACATCGCCTAGCACAGGGCAAGGACGCTTGTCACCAAGGAGAAAACAACACAAGCAAAGAAGCTTTTCTGCTCATGGCAGATGACTGAAGCTTGAGATTAGATTTTCTCACTGGCCTGATAGACCTCAAATCAGATGGGGAAGTTAGAGGCTAAAGTGGCCATGTTTAGGTTTTGCCATGCATTAATCAACCCCAAATTCCTCTTGAGCTGGGGGAGGGAGGAAGTGGCCACTTCTCATAACTGCTTGCCCAGAAACGATTCCTGCCTTTAAGAAGACCCCAATATCATAGAGACCGAAGGAAGGGACAGTGTAAGACAACAGGGAGCTGCAGAAGAGATTTAGGCACAGGGAGTTTAGGGTATGGGTCAGGCGTTGTGGGAAGGGTTTTCAGGCATATGATTTAGTTTCATTTTCTCGATACCCCTTATGGCAGCCCGACCCAGGGAATGGTGGCACTGGCCTGGGAGTCTGTTTCCCTAAGTGTAGAGCCCTTCTATTTCCACATTGATGGGGCACAAAACATGAAGAGGAGGGACCCATGGGCGCCTCTCCAAAGTATTTCCTGCATGCAGCCTGTTGACAGTTATCTTTTCATTTGTGCAAGTCATGCAACCTGAAACAGACAGTAGGACTCAGCCATGTTGAGCACCAGTCTCAGGTATAGGAAATGTTCTAGAAACACTGTTTCTCTGCTAATCTTAGTGACTGACAGAAGGAATGGGGGAAAGGGGGAGGGAGGAAGTGGCCACTTCTCATAACTGCTTGCCCAGAAACGATTCAGTGCCTGGAGTGTGATGGCTTCTTATGGACCATTGCTGATTTGAAGCCTTAGGAGAAATCCTGCCTCTGGTTCTCCTGAGTTAACAAGTAGGTATGCCATAGTTGCAGGCATGTGGTACTTAGTGGCTACAGGCCTTTCTTGTCTTGTGCAGTCAGCATCACTCATGCCATACCAGAGCCTAATTCCAGCTAACACAGGAGAAGAGGTAGGTAAAAAGCAGGTAAGCATCATGAGAGGATTTCAGGTCCTAAAATTAGCCCACTAGAAAAAGAATGGAAGGATCTAAGATCGCTCAGAAGATTGAAAGTTGATCCTATAAGGATTTTGAGTGATGGTAAGTATTGTTGCACAGAGGGCAGTGATCTTAAGCAAACCGTTCAACCTCAGTTTCATAAGTTGAAGGGCTGTTGGAAGGGTTAGAGATAATGTATGTAAAATCTTTCTAGTCTAGAATGTGCACATTGAGTGGCCTCAACAAAAGGTAGTTATTACTAGAAAGAAAGATAACCAACAGAAGGAAGCACTGAATAGTACAATGAGTTACTGAAACAGGTTTTGGGATTTCTTTCTCTGGAATAAGGTCTTGACTGAATACATATTATTTTTTTTATTTTTTTTGAGTTGGAGTTTCACTCCGTCACCCAGACTGAAGTGCAGTGGTCGCTCCTGGCCACCGCAGCCTTGACCCGCTGGGCTCTGGTGATCCTTCCACTTCAGCCTTCTGAGTAGCTGGAATTACAGGCACGTGCTACCACGCCCGGCTAATTTTTTATTTACTGTAGAGATGAGGTCTCGCTGCCCAGGTGGGTCTTGAACCCGCGGGCTCAGGCAATCCACTCACCTCAGCCTCCCAAAGGCGTGGGATTACAGGCTGAGCCACCAAGCCCGGCTACATATTATATTAGCCTCCCTGAGAGATGAGAACAATTTTGTTTAACATACTCAGTTGCTAAGTTGGCAACCCCAATGCCCATCAACAAAATACTAAGAAAATTTGAAATAAAACTTTCTGTGGTGATCAGAGTACAGTGGGGATTGTATGTTTTCCTGGAGTCTCACTGGTAAGTATGATAAATGACAGCTATGTCAGAAAGAAAGGAAATTAACATGTAATAAAACCTACTATATGCCAGATACGATAGCGGGCATTTTCACATAATTCATCTAATTTAACCCTTACAACAATTGTGTAAGGTAGGTATTTTCATTATTATAGATGGGTAAAGTAAGGCTCAGTAACCTTAAGCCTCTAGCCCAAGGCCAAAGGGCTAGAAAGTGTGGGGTTAAATTTATATTTTAAGACTTTACATTCACTTTCTACTACATCAGAGGGAAATTAATTATTTTTACATGCAAAAGAATCAGCAGTCATTTCAAGAATAAAAAGAACTGCTGGGTTATAGCTACATAAAAAAGAAAAAAAAGATAAAAAGAATAACTGGATTTCCTTCTTCTTTTCTGGCTTCACACACACATACACAAAAAAAGTAAAAAACCTATCAATTCTACTTCTGCACAAAATTAAAAGAATGTAGTATAATGCAAAGAGAATGAAGTTGGAGCTAAAAGCCTTAGAATGCATGCTGGTTCCTCTAGATACTAGATTTTGGGTGATACTCTGCTGATTCTCAGTTTCCTTATCTACTAAATCAGGCATGTCAACCAGACCACATGCAGCCCAGGATGGCTAGTAATGTGGTCCCATAAAATCTTTTATCATCATGTGTTTTTTAGCATTTCTTTTCTTCATGACCCATGTGTAGTTCCATGTTTGAAGTTCACAATCATACTTTATTCATGGCATTGCTTTTTTGGTGGTACATACATTTGTGAGCAGTTGTTTTCAAAGATGAAGCACATGAAGAGTAAAATTCGAACAAAACTTTCTGACAAGCACCTTGAAAACTCACTGAGAATTATGAACATTTCCATTGAACCAGATATTGATAGATTAGTTTTACAAAAACAAAGTCAAATTTCCCACAAGTTTTATATTGTTCTCATTTTTCTAAGCTTTATAATAAAAAAAATAAAAAATAAAATGTATATACACTAACTATATTATATAATTTATGTGCCACCCAAGACAATTCCTCTTTACTTGATGTGGTCCAGGGAAGTCAAAACTTGAACACTCCTGTACTAAACAGAAACAAAAGTAAAACCATGAGATTATAAGCAAAAAAGATAATGCTTAATGATCCACTTTGTAAACTCTGAAGTAGTATGCAACATAAAATTGTATGATTGTCATAATCTTGTTCATGGTTTAAAAGTTATCATTTTGTAACTCACAAACCTAAAAATAAAACGTAAAGCTATAAAACTTCTGGTAGAAAACAGGAGAAAATCTTGTAACCTTGAGTTAGGAAACTATTTCTTAGACACAATACTTAAAGTATGATCTATAACAGAAAAAGTTGATAAATGGGGTCACCTCAAAATGAGGAACTATTGCTCTTTGAAAGATACTGTTTACAGAACAAAAAGACAAGTAGCAGACTGGAATAAAATATTTTTAAAATACAAATCTTTGTCCAGAATCCACAACAATGCAATAACAGGGTGGACAACAACTCAATTAAAAAGCTCTAAATATCAACCTCCCATATGACCCCGCAATCCCCCCTACTGGGAATATATCCTGAAGAACTCAAATCACTGTATAAAAAAGATACCTGCACACGTATGTTTATCGCAGCATTGTTCACAATAGCAAGAACCTGGAAACAACCATGCTG